ACGGAGGGAACAATGGAGCCAGTGTTGGGCTGAGCGCCGCGGCTCCCTGCAGAAACGCCCGGCGAGGGGTTTTCAGCACATTTTGCTTCCCCACTCAGGTATAATTACACCGGGGAACAAAGAGCCCTTCAGCCCTGCCTGCTCCCTCCAGCACAGCCCTGGGGGGCTGCGTGCATGCACGCACGCACGTGTGCCAGCTCTCAGTGGGGTGCAATGGGATGGTGACCGGGTGGATGTCCCGGTCTTTAATTCTGTTTAATTCTCATTAATTCTCCGTCTTTTTATTTTGGTCCGTGTCTCCCACTCAGTGCACACCCCAAAATCCCAGCACTGCCCAGCAATCGTTGCCATGCCAGCACCTGTCCTTGTTGCAGGGAGCAAGGACACATCCCTGTGGGTCGATGCCCTCCGGTTGCTGCTGCTGCTTCTCCTCCAGCACCGTCCTGCTGAGCCCAGCACCCACCCAGACCCCCAGACCTTTTGCAGGAACCAGCTGGGGTGGGCTCTGGAGGCCAGCCCTGATGCAGAGGAGAGGGGCACCGATGTCTGCCTGGGGCTGTGCCCCCTGCTGCTCCCCAGCACAAAGCAGGGACAGAGAACAAGTCCAATTTCAGATTTCGGTCCCCAGTCCCACGCCCTGTGCTTGCTGCTGCAGGTCTGTGTTTGGGCACGTGCCCGCAGCCTGGTGGGGTCCCAGCCAGGCACCCCGCAGCTCCCTCCCCGAGTCCTCGAGGGCTCCTGGGGTAGGAGCTGCACCCCGTGATTTCTTTCCCAGCATTGATCCTACTCAATCTGTTATTGTCTGCTGGCTTGCATGCATAATTACAGCAACAGTGCATGGAAATTAGGTTTGCTTTTTTCAAGCCTGGTTGTTTATACGAACTGTTTAAAACTCCACTTTCCCTTCCCAGTGAACCCTTAGAAAACCACCAGGGTGTTTCTTCCGAGATGGGGATTGAAGCAGATTGCCAGCTCCCTCCGTCCTGCCCCACCAGCCTGGCTCCCCCGGCTGTACTGCAACGTGGGGCTGATTTTGGGAGCCATGTCCAGCCCCACAGTGCAGCTCTGCTTGCCTCAAGACCCCCATATGGCCACCAAGCCTCAGCTGTGGACGTGGTGGCCCTTGTCCTGTCCCGTGTCCCATCGGGATGCTGTCAACTCCCGAGCTCAGTCCTTCCCCACACTGCAGGAAGTATGGAGCTTGCCAGGAGGGAGCTTGTTTAAAACCTTTTTTTTTTCTCGTTTTAGGGAAAAAGAAACAACCCAAACCCTGATTTTCCACATTTGGCTGCATGGACAAGGCTGAGTGCCTGGAGCGTGGGCACAGAGGCGTGGTGGTCTCCAAACAGCTCATTTAGGGATGTGGTTAACAACACCCCCACCTGGCACTGGAGGGGGACACAGGCACCCGTGGATGTCTCCAGCCCACCCTGCCCTTAATACAGCTTTAGGGTTTTTTGAGCCTGGCCAGTGGTGCCACACACCCGGGCCGTTCCCGATGTGCTCAGAGTCTCTCAAGTAGGTAATAGCAATTCCTCAGCAGCCCAGCTCAGCTTATTTTGGCCCTGGCATCCTTCTGCATCCTGCTGCCCAGCTGGGTTATTTATAGTTCTGCCAGAAAAAGGATAAAGTCAGCACAGGTTTGCTGGGACTGCACAAACTTATGGCCCCATACACGCGGCTCCCCTGCCTGGGGCTGGGGGTGCCCTGGGGGGCTGCTGAGGTGAGGGGACCTTGTTGGGGTCCGCAGGGTAGGGCTGGGACCAGCGTGGGGGCTTGGCAGGGAGGCAGATTTTTGGCTTGAGATGCAGGGACCAGCCCCTTGGTTCAGCTTTGGCTGAGGTCTGCTCACACACCACACCAGCCCTGGGCATCAGGAGCACAAAACTTCCAAGAAAGGTGGTTTTCTCTGCACCTTTCCCCCAGCTGATGGGCAGAGCTGCATCCCCACATCCTCGCCCTCCTGGGGTGAGATTTACACCAAACAGTGTGGCTGGGGATGAGGGGGCAACTGCTCTGATGTTGGTGGCCCCACGTTCCCCGTGTCTCCAGCGCTTCCTGATGTGGGGTCCCAGGGGACGCTCACCGTGGTCCTGCTGTCCTCTGGGGGGGAGCTGGCAGCGCTGCCACCCCCTGGGACCTCAAGGCGGGAGGTGACAGAGCTGTGACAGCACTGGGACCTGCCCTGGGCTGCCCTTGCCAACTCAAACACCTCTCTGGGTCACAAACAGGGCTGGCAGCGAGCCCACCTGCACCGAGCCCTGCTGGCACTGGCCAGCCACCCTCCTACAGCCTCCCCTGGCCAGCCTCCCCTCTCTGCCCACCCCTTGGGCTCAGAGAGATGCAAAATCCTCTTTAAACCCATATTTTCCAGCCTTCCTAGAGGCTGCAAAATCACGGACTGCCCTCTGAGCAAGGCAGCCCTCCGGCCACCTTGGCGGAGGGAGCGGTGTCGGTGGGCTGGGTGCGAGCTGGGTGAGCAGGAGATGAATGCACCCGGGGAACCACGGCCACCCCTCACTCCCCGAGCACTGGGTGCGATGTGGGGCAGGGCAGGGCTGTCCTTGTGGGGTGCGGGGCCGGATCCCGCAGCAATATGGGGCCGCAGGGCGTGGGGAGCTCAGTGCCGCAGCCAGCCCTGGCTTGCCATTAGCCGGGCTCTGTGCTTTGCTCCCTTCCTGCTTGCTCAGGGCATTACTGGGGAAAATAAATAAATAAATAAAAATCACTCCCCGAACCTGCTGCGTGTTTTAGGGCAAAAAACAATGGGTCCATGTTTTTTAAAAAAGCCGGGCTGCAGCCGTGTGCTGGCTCGCTAGGTGGCAGCAGCCACTCTTGGTGTTCTTTAGAAAGTTGTTTCAGGGGGAGAGAGACAAGATTTTGTTTTCTTCTTGCTGTTTTTGAGGGTGCTGTCACCTCCGGGACCTGTTTACACATATATACATATATTTAAATGTATATATATAAAGTGCTTATCGCCATACTGAAGCAGGAGCAGGGCACTGCTGTGATTTCCCATTGCCACCCAAGGGCGCTCACACAACGCCACGGCCACCCATGGTGTAAGTTATTCTGTGTGTCCTAAAAACATGTGATGCTTTTGGTAATTTCCCAGCTCCTGGTGATATGGAAGTTTTTAATTCTTCCTTTTAAAGCCACATTGCTGGCTGCATTGGGGATGGGGCAAAGCCTGTACACGTATCTCAGATAATCCATAACGTGGCTCAGGAGCAAGGGAGATGCTGGAGCAGCTCCACTAGGGACCGTGGGGACGATTTGTGTGTGTCCCCATGCGTGCGGGGTCCCTGAGCCATCCAGCAGAGGTGGGCACTGCTGACTTGCTCATGAGCGAGACTTCACAACCGCGTGGCTGGCGCCTGTCCGAGACAGTTTGTGTTAATTGGGGATTATGCAAATAAACAGCCCTGACGATGCTACCAGCTCCTCCACCCAGATGTGGAGCATATGCTCAGGGAAGTGATTTGTCTGGGAGCTGCAAAGCTCCCCTTTCCACCTGTGGGACCTGCTGGGAAATGCAGAGCCCCTGATAAATGCAGTCCATGGCAGGCTTTTGGGGACAGAGGTGAGAACCACCACGGTGCCCCGAGGCCCCCCCAGCCGTCCTGTCTTCCCTTTCCCCATGTGCCTTGAGTTACTGCAGATGTTTGCTGAACCCAGCAGGCTTCAGGAGCGAGCCACTTGGTGCTTCCTTGGCCTCTCCAGCGAAGCCTCGTGCCGTAAACACAACGCAGGCTTGTTCAGAGCCCTTGAAGTCAACAAGTCCTCCTGCCTCCAGGGCTGGGCTGCTGCTAAATATAGAGGAGGGCGCTTTCCATTCATAAAACAGGAATTATGCGCAGGGAGGGGGGACTGGGAGCTGGCGGGCGGGATGCAGGCATGGGCTGAAACGCTTGGCCCCATCCTTCCCCCGAGCTCCCACAGAGATGGGGGACAAAATGCTTTTGGGGAGCTGGGAGGAATCCTCAGCTCAGGCATTTTGTCTTGGATGGGGTTGATTAAAGGGTTTTTCTTGGGGTGCATCCTCAGTTCCATTAGCCAAGGGCAGATTTGCAGGGGAGCAGGGGCTGGTGGGGTGGTTGTAGCAATATGTGGGTGGCTGTAACATCCTCCTGCCCCTTTCCTCCACCAGCAGCAGCCCCGGTGATGCACTCGCACAGACACAGGGGTGTCTGCATCGGCTTCTAAACCTACATGGGTTTGCAGAGAGAAGGAGCCCCATCTCCAGACTGCTGGGGGGCCTTAGGGAGGTGCTGCTACCCAGAAAATGCAGGGGGTGCCCGGGCACTGACCCAGAGGCACCGGGTGCCCCACACTGCTTTGGGGCTGCCCCTGCTCCCCTCAGTGCTGCTGAGTTCAGCACAGGTTCAAAACCTCCGCGGTTTTGGCACCTGGCTTGTTTCTAACCCCAGCACAGAACTGCCAGGGCAGCACGATTTCTAGGTACACCGTAGCTCCTTTGATGCCACGGAGATCTGAAGGCTAAATAAAGCTGTAAGCTCCGCTCCGCACAGTGCTCGGGTCCAGCTCCAAGAAACCTGGTTCCTTTTTATGGCCTCTTCAGATCAGCAGCTTCCCGCTGGCTCCAGCCTCGCACCGCGTGCGCGCGTAAAACAACGGAGCTCAGAGAGCCATGACAGCTAGGAAAGGGCTGGCTTTCACACTGAACTGTTTCTCTCTCCTTTTTTTTTTTTTTTTTCCCTTTTCCTTTCGAAATTACCCCATTTGGGCCTCTAATGGAAAAAAATAAAAATAAAAAATCTGGTGCTGGGTATTCAGCTGCTGGAAATCAGCTCCTCGTTACTGAAAAGCACAGAAGCGGTCGTTTATGTCACAGAAGTGACATTTAAGGTCACTTGCATTCATCATCCGTGTCCCTCCTGGCCTTTGAATACACGGACCGAGGAATCGAGGGAGCCGTGATGTTCTGTGCCAGCACGGGAGGTAAATCCTGGAGGCCAGCAAAGAAGCAATCGAATCAGTAAAGAGTCCTCAAAGCACGATTTATTGGTGCTCTCAGGTGAGATCTCACCAGGGCGAGATGCTGCCATGACAAGAGAGAAGGCAGCGGGTCAGATAACGGATGGGCAGTGGATGTATGGGGAGGACCCTCGGGCAGAGCCACCCCAGCCTGTGGACGTGGCTCAGGGACGCTCCTGTCCCCAGGGCTGGGGGCAGGCGGAGCACTGCTGGCCCCGCTCGCTAGCTCTGCATGAAGAGGTGGAAGTTGGTCCTGGTGAACTCCTGGTGGATGCTGTCGAGCAGCTTGTCCGAGTCCTGCGGGACGTCCGAGGGGACCGGCTGTCCCGGCAGGAGGCTCTGCTCCGGGGTGTAGGTGAAGGTGAATGAGCTGGAGTAGATGAGGCCGTCATCCCTGATCAGCAGGAGCGGGACAGTGATGGGGTATCGCAGCCACCTCCAGTCACTGCCGAAGGCGGAGACGTCGGGGACAACGCACACCAGGGATTTGGGGCTCCTGGGAGCAGTGAATGAGGAAAATGTGCTTTAATGACCTGGGATGCACACCACCCCCAAGCTGGAGCTCAGTGGGAAGCCTCTGGCCACTCTCCCCTCTCCTCTTGGCTGTTTTGTTCCTCTGCCAAAGCTCCTTGCTTGTCTTCAGCCCCTGGGGTCCCTGTGGCCTCCAGCCACCCCTACAGCAGAGCCCTCCCGCACCAGGAGCAGCACGCATGCACCCAACTGAGCAGCAACGAGGTGGGCAGTGACCCCAGCCCCCCCCCCCAGCCTTCCCCACCAGTTCCAAGCTCCAGCTTGGTCCCACAGCACGGGTGGCACAAGTGCCCCCTTCGCCCAGGCTGGCAGCCATGAGCCTCACAGCATCCCCAGTACAGCCCATGGCACCACTGTGCCCAACCCAGAGGCTCCCTCCCCACCATTTTTCCACCCTTACCTGTACATCGTCTCCGCCTCCACGTCTCCAAACCAGACCTTGAGGTGTGCGTGGAAATGCTCGCCCTGCACCTCCAGCATGGCCACGTCCCCGCCACCGGTGAGCTGCGGCGGCAGCACATTATGGCACCGGCTGCTCTGCCCCGTGCCCCCACCCCACACCGAGCCCCAAGGAACGGGGCAGCAGCCTCGCCGCACCCCCACGCCAAGAGAAACTGAGCAGAGGAGCCCTTTGGGGATGGAGATGCCCCAAAAGGCGCCCCGCAGCCAGAGCCCTGCCTACCTGCAGGGCAGCGATGAGCGGCACGGGGCTGACAGGCTCGCGGGCGCAGGCCAGGCTCTCACTGAAGGTGTACTCCACCATCTCGGTGCCGATGATGGTCCAGCAGGAGCCGTCGTTCAGTAGCTCCCTGTTGGCTTCCTTCGGGCACGGAGATGCCTGCGGAGAGGGTCACAGCTCTGAACGTGTCACGGTGGGGACAACAGGGGACCAGGGCCAAGGACGCCTGGATTCTGCCTGGTCCCAGTGAGTGACCCAGTGCCTCTGCTGGGAAACGGGGACTGATAACGCTTTGCAAACACCTTGGTGATGAGGTCAAGCTCCCCACCAAGGCTGGAGGCTGGTGGCTCTGCAGTGATTCTTAGCTCACTTTAGAGGCAGCCCCTGTTGGTAGCACACCTCCCCCTCCCCGGGACCCGCTCCCAGCCAAGTGGAGCAGTTTGGATGTGGAGCACCTGCGGGTCCTCAGCCCCTCGTACCTGGAACTGGATGACTTTCTCCGTGGACAGACACAGGTACATGCGGTCGCTGCCCTGGAACTGGAAGGCGCACTTGTGGAGCTGGGAGATGGGCTCGTCCACGTCCAGCATGGCGTACTGCTTGCTCACCTTCCGGATGATCTGCGGGGCGGGGGCACCTGCTCAGCATGGGGCTGGCGAGCCCCCTGCCCCGAGGGAGGCTGTGCCCCCGTGAGGAGGAAGCAGAGGGATAAAGCATACGTTGCCCTGTGTGAGCCCCTGGGCTTGAGGGAGCAGGAGAGCGGCTTTGGCCCACAGATTGTACCCGTTGCTCAGGTCCGTACCGCCCGAGCCCTGTGGGGATGGAGGCTTACCAGGGGAGGCAGGGTGATGCCGGTGGCCGTGCAGATGAGCTGCACCACGGAGCCGTAGCGGATGTACCCTTCCCGCAGCGGGAACTCACTCCGGGTGTAGCGCTCATCGGCTTCGGGGGAAGGAGAGAGGCAGAGTCAGTGCCACGAGCAGCAGGGAGCAGGTCTGGCTGTACTCATGGTGCTTTTTTATGGCTTTATCTGCCCTGCAAGTGCTCACTGCTTGGAGAGACCTGGCTGGGAGGCCGGCACCCAGCAGGGCTGGGATGTGGTACCGCGCAGGGACATGGCCAGAGGCAGCCCCATGAGGCTCCTTACCCAGGTGGAGGGTGAAGGCTGCCCACTGCCTGGCGCTGGCGATGAAGGCTCCCCCCTCCACGGAGAGGTAGCGGGTGCTGACGGTCTGGGAGCGCAGGCGGTTGAAGAGGGACACCTTGGAGCCCGAGGAGATGCACACTGCAGGGGGAGGTGGCTGGGTTAGTGCCTGCCAGCTTGCTCGGGGTTTGAGCTACAGCCCCGCTGCTTCTGGTAGAGCCGGGGAGGATGAGTCCTGGGTACTGGGGTGAGCAGCACTGCAGCAGGCAGCACTTCCATCTGCCATTCTCTATGTGCAAGCAACAGCCAAGCTGCACCTTCCAGAGGTGCAGGTGAAGCCCAAGGAGTGGGGAGCACATTGGCATCAAGGTGCTACAAGTTGCAGTGGGTCAATCCTTTGGAAAATGGATATCAATATGCCCACATGCATTATTTTTTGAGGGTGCCCATGAGCTTAGGATCAGCCCTGACCACTCTGAAGGCAAGATGTGAGCACGCATCCCATTCCATCCCATCCCACCCCACCCCACCCCACCCCATCCCATCCCATCCCATCCCATCCCATCCCATCCCATCCTGCCCCCCAGCAGATCCATCCCCGTACGCACAGTCCGTATTCTTCAGTGACTGCTTCTTCTGCGAGGGCTTGGAGATGACTTTGATCAGCTTGCTGTGGAAGGTGCCGATCTCCTGCCCATTGCTGAAGAAGAGCTTCAGGACCAGGCGGAAATGTTTGCGCTTGTCCGCGTCCGAGATGTACAGCGCCTTGGCGCAGCTGAAGCCCTGCAGGGGGCACAAGGGGCGGCCGAGCATGGGCTGGGGGCAGCGGGCACGGCCCCAACCTCTCCATCCTTCCTCACCCTCCTCACCTTCCTCACCACCAGCCCGGGCACGGCGTCCCCCCAGGACAATAGCGCCCTTTCAAAGAGCCCCGGGTTCATTTACAAGGGGAAAGGGCTGGAGATGTTATTACAGGTGCGGTGAAGAGCCAGGGATCGGCAGAGGCTTTATTTACACAGGGGGCAGAGAATTCCTCATGGAAATTAATGTTCACGTGTGATTTATCCCGCGTAACATGAGGGATCGCCCTGGGTTTTCGGTTTCCCCGCCGTGCTGGCTCTGGCAGGGCTGATAGCAGCACCTCGAGCACTGCAAACAAAGCCCTTTTTGTCATGTTTTTGGCCCAACGCAGACCCCGCACTCTTCAGGGACCCCAGATAACGCTTTTTTCCCGCTCTTTTCCCCTATCAAAAGATGCCGGCTCTCCTCTGAAGCTCTCGGACCTTGGGATCGAGCGGTGTTTTCCTTTGCTGTTTACCCACAAATGAAAGGGCAGGCTTTCAGGTCATGATAAGCAGCGCTGCTGCGCAGCAGGAGCACAAAACGGGCCGGGGAAGCCATGAGATTTTTGGCAACCCGCCTGCCCCAGGGCTTCACAGACCTGGAAAGGTGGTAAGAAGGACGGATCCTGCCCACGGGGGAGCAGGCACTGCAGGGCTAACCCCGCACAGAGCATCCCCAGAGGAGCAGGCTGCGAGCCCTCAATTTACCTTCGAGTCCGGCTGCTCCTCAAAGCTCAGCTTCTGCGTCTCCATCAGGCTGCTGCCCATGCTGTCCAGCCCCATGTACCCCCACACACGGAAACCTGCCTCTCCCAGGTCCCTGGCTAGAAGAGACGGGGACAAAAACCCTCTAGCCCCACTCTGATACCCCCTGGAGCTCCTCCTGGGGTGGTCCAGGCTGCTGCCTGCTCAGGTCTGGCCTGCAGAGGGGCCAGCCCCAGGGAAAGAGGAGCTTGGGGGGCACAGAAATAACCATCAGGATGCATTTCCCTTTGCAGAGGCGGAGGATGGCTCACTAGGAGAGGTCTGGGGCTGCCACCCCGCACGTACCTGTTATCTGCTCCTGCTTTAGCTTCCAGCCCGGCCCACTGAGGTAAACACAAGGCGGGGGGCAGAAAAACCTGTGGAGACAAGAGGACCCCTCCTGACAGCACTCAAACACCCACAGATGGTGCTTGGCTCGAGGTGTGGCTGCCAGCAGCCCTATGGAGCCAGCACGGTGCCGCTGACACACCTCTGGGTGCTGCTGGAGGGCACAGGGTGCAGGGTGCTGCAGCCCCCCCAGCTGAGCCCCCGGGGTCAGGCCCCCACTCTCTGCCCACCAGGAATGCAGAGTTTCGGCAGCTCGGGAACAGAGTTTGCATTCACAGCCAGAACCGGAGCCCAACGCAAATAAATCTATGCGCGGGGTTTTGGAAACCTATTTTCCTGTGTTTTATTTGGGTTTCCACTGTCTTTGCACTTGGGTGAATGGCACAAATTCATCCTCTATTCATACCGGGTAAAACGGGAGCAGTGCAGGAGGGGGTGATATTTTGGGGCCCTAAAGTGCTGGGCTATGGATTTATTTATACAAATCCCTCGGGCTCTGGACCCTGAATCCCAGCCCCGCTCATCTGGGGGCAGCTCAGCCCCCGAGGCAGAGCTCGTCACCTCAAAGCTGCTCTGCGCTCAGTAATAAGGGAGGATTATTTATATCACAAGGGTTAATGGAGGATTAATTATACTCTGGTGCCACATGCTGACGTCACTGCCCGGGAGTAGCAATTTTGGGGATTCAAGCCAGAACCTCAAGGTGTTCTTGAGATGTGGGGAGGATTGTCCAAAATAGCACCTTTGGGGAGACGGTGGGCATTGATGGAAATGTCCCAGTGTGGCCGTTCAGATGTTAAGACGATTTCCAGAGCACTTAAAACACTGACCTCTCTTCTTATTCTTTGCAATTTCATGCTGAGAGGGTGAGACCTGAATAGTTTCTTTCTTTTTTTCCCCAACCCTCTGACCTCCCTGGGAGGAACCTGGGAAGAGGAGTGCCCACTGCTGCGGGTTGGGGTGGAGGTGCCCCCTTGTGCTGCTCAGCCCATGAAGACTCTTACCTTTTTTCATTGCCATACGACTTCTGGGCGACCTTTGCGTGCAGAATGAGTACTGTCTGGTCTGCTGGCAGCTGCAGGTACCTCCGCACGCCATCTCGGAGCAGGTTGGCTTGGTAGGGGTTGGATCTACGAGACAGAGGTCCCACAGCATCGCAACCCCCAAACGGGGCTCCTCGCCTCACTAGCAAATGGTACCAGCCCCAAACCCAGCCCTCAGCTCCCTGCACCATGCAGCTGGGCACCGAGAGGCATGGGGGGAGTTTTTAGGGCCACATCAAGGCTTTCTGCTCTGGTAGCTGGGAGCAGTTCCCGTGCACCTGCCCCTTAACTCTGCTGGCTCAGGCGCTCAGGCAGGGACAGGCTGGCTGAGTCTGAGCCTGAGGTGCCCTGCTCTGCCGTGGGACCTGAGGGACCCCGTTACAATTACCCTGACACCTCCAACCCTTCACTTCCAGCTTTCCCACGCTGTGAATGAAGCCGATGCTTTCCTGTCTGTACTGTCTGTATGTGAAGATGAGCACACCTCCCGTACAAACAGGTATTTCCCCAGTGCCTCCTCTGTTGGCAGATAGTCCCGCAGGGACCCAGCACTTTGCTGTCCGCAGTTTCCCATCACTGCCTGGTTGGTTATGAGATGGGCAATATAACCTCGATTCTCCATGCAGTAATACGTCACCAGCAAGCATAAATCAACAGAGCTCTGCCAAAAGCAGATTTATGGCAGGTACCGGTGCCACCCACAGCATCAGCTGCCACTCTGGATTTGCTGAATTCAGCCGTCCAGGCTGAATTTGCTGCCCTGTGCCCCAGTGCCCCAAGTCAAGATTTACCCCTGGTTTGCCACCAGAAACCTCTCCAGGGTAGGTTTTCATCTTGCTGAAACCTTCTCTCCAGCCCTTCCTTCCTCTGGTTTGTATCCTTGCTAAGGCAAACATAAGAATGAACCAGGCTCCGTGCCTGATTAATTTTTTCTTTTTTTTTTTTCCTGCATTGCTCAGTGTTCAGTGCCAAATGAGGAGCATGGCTTTGGGCCCGGCTGGGTGCCAGCTCCATGTCCCCTGCTGGGTGCCCCCCACCCCACTGGGTGCCCACCACAGAGCCCGGGGCTGCCCGGGAGCGGTTGGGCTGGTGCTGGAGGCAGCACCTCGGCTTCACCCATCAGCAGGGAGTGTTCGGCAGCAAATTGCCAAAAAATGTGGATTGAGACATGTGCTGACAGCATGGCCAGCAGCAACGCCTGCTTTGCAGAGCTTCCTGCAGCAACAGCTTGGGGCAGGGCCGGGCTTGTGCAGGTATCATCGCTCCGAACCATCACATCCCTGTGTAACACCAGAGGCACGGGGACTGCTGCACAGGTCTCTTTGGAGACTTCTGGAATAATTATCCATGTGCTACTTGCTGCTTAGAGAGGGAACGTGCACACCAACGGCAGGTAAGCAGACTGTGGTTCTTCAGATTTGATGTCTAGCTGGGGAAGGGCTACCCCGAAACTTGGAGAGTTTAGTTTCTCCTTTCTCTGCAGCCATTGCTGTCCAAATCTGGGGGTTAAATTGTTTGAGTGACGCCCCTCTGAACAGTGCTCACCATTCTGACCAGGAGCCGACCACCCAGCGTCCATCATCTGGTTTAGATTTGCCTTCAGAAAGTCAAAGGGCTATTGCTAAAGCGGCTCGGTATGCTGCTCGGTACCCACTTGGCTCCTTCTGGCACCTCCAGCCTCTGCAGGGTTACAGGGAATTATTCACTCCCTCTGACATTTATTATATTAACTTATTAAAATGCTTTGATTGTAGTGCAGTGTTAGTTCAGTGTCATGTTAGCGGCACCGCGCGGGCCGGGCTCTCACAGCTCACACTAACAGCCTCCTTTTCAGAGCCGCAATTCCCAGCTGGGAATCAAACGCTCTCGCACAAAGTTGGGCATTATGCAGAGGCAGAGCGAGGCCCTGCCTCCTCAGCTCTGCGGGCCACGACCCCTTTCCTTGGCTGATTTTTTGCAAGCCTTTCCCTCTCTGTGCTCAGCCTGGCGCTGTGCTGTGCTGGGGCTCTTCTCTTGCTTTAAGCCTGGGGGGTTTGGACGTGCTGCAGGAGTGGGTGTGCTTTGAGGTGTGCTTGGATGTGATGATCCCTGCAGGTCCCTTCCATATGGGGATGTTGTTGGGGTGTCTCCGGGGTGTCTCTGCCCAAAATGGGGGATGTGACAGCACCCAGACTCCATACATGCTTACAGTCCTTGCTGTGCATGGGCCAGGAAGCAGGAAAGGAGAAGCAGAACCCTGCGTGCTATCCGTGGAAGACACAAGACTGGACCAGCTCTGGTGTGGACACCCCATGGTCTCCCCATTGCCCTCTGCTCTGTGAGGGCAGATAGGGCAGGGAAGCCCAGCAGCACCCCGTGTTTGCACCCTTGGGTGACCCCAAGAGCAGAACACCCACATGAGGGCACTGGGAGAACCAGACCCCCCCCATGCCACTGCTCCCCAGCCCTGGCTACGGTGTGGTGCGTGCTCTTCCCCGGCATTCACCAGCTCAGCCTGCAGAGGATGGGTGCCACTTTTGGAGGTCCTGCTGGGAACTGACTTGGAACTGCTTGGAACTGCTGTGCCTGACTTGGGAGACCAAAATACCACCACCCATCAGCTGTTAGTTGGGGTCTTCAAGCCACTATGTAGACAAGAACCTTAACTCGCATTAATGCTATCCTGGAGTGCACGCTGACCCAGGTGCACAGTTTCATTTTCTGCCTTTCACCCCCAAAAGGAGCTGCTGTTTGCCTTGCTCAGAGCCCAGCTGCCCTGCAGCTTGCTGGTGACTTGGTGCCACAGAGTGCAATTGTTCTTTCCTGTGGCCGGGTAAAACCAAATGTCCTAGTAAAGAATATCCATTTTAGAGGTCTGGGTTATATTTCGTAGAGAGCAGGGGAGAAAAAGCCTGCAGTGCTCCTGGGTATGGAGTCAGCGTGATGTTTATGCAAAAGGAAAAGCCATTAGAAATCACAGAAATGAGAAGCCTGCAGTTTCTGGCTTCCCTCATTTTTCAATACCTCCTTTAATCCAGACCAACCCAACCCACAAGCCCTTGTATATGCACGGGTATTTATAAATCCTATACTTTCGTCGCTGCACACACAAGTGAAATTCAGCCTTTTCTGGGCTTGGGGGATTTCTCGACCACACCAACGGCAAACACCGGGGCAGGACGGCTGCGGAGGATGGGGGGCCAGGCAGGGTGGTCGCCCACGGCATGCTCCTGCCCTGCCAGCACCCCGGCAGCACCCGAACGCCCACATTTGGTGCCACAGCATCGCCTCGACTGAGAGAAAGCTCAGATAATGTGGGTGGTTTGCTGGGGTCTCCTTTCTCTGATCATCCTGCTGCTGTTTGTGTTAGTGCAAGGAAAGTGCTACTAAAGCACTAAAGCTTGGTGCTATGGAGCACTAAAGGTGGCTCCTGCCACCAAGGAGCTGATGTGAGTGCTGCAAGGAGGTGGAGGGCTGGGAAGCTCTGTTCCAGGGTTCCCTGGACCAGCTGGGAAGGAAAGCTCTGTTCCAGGCTCTGTTCCAGCTACAGCCCCGCACATCACTTGTCCTCGCCGGCAGCTGGACCAGGTTCAGCTCCCTGGTTCCAGCCCAGCTCCCCGAGCTCCCAGGTCTCTGGGGTTTTGTAAGGAAGGACACAAGGAATTTCGGGGCTGTTTTCTGGTACCTCTGCACTTGATGTTTCACGCGCTCTGCCAGCAGAGGAGCAAAAAGATAATAATAACCCAACACAAAATACAAAATAAATAAATAAATAAATAAATAAATAAAGCAAACAAAACCCCCAAAACCCAAGCAGAGGAAGCCTCTCGCTGGCCGTTGCGGTGCCGTGCAGAGGCAGGGGCTGTGCCCTGACCCCGCCGCGTTGCCCCCCGCACTGCCCCCGGCGCCCCCGCTCCCACCTGCGCGGCTCCCGCTCGCCCCCGGCCGCCAGCCCCGGGATTTTTGTTTTTTTTTGGGGGGGGGGGGGAGGTGGCCGGGGGCTGGGGCCCCTCCCGCGCTATCCCGGGCCGGGCCCGCCCCGCCTCCCCCCGCCCCGTTAAATGCCGCTCCCGGCACCGCCGCTCAGCACTGCGGCCCCCGCGCAGCCCCCGCCGAGCCCCCGCCGAGCCCCCGCCGAGCCCCCGCCGTACCTGAGCCAGTACCGCGGCGGGGAGCGGCTCTGAGGCCGGTACGGGTGAGTGAGGGGCTCCACGGCACCTGCGGGGAGGGGAAAAGGGATGGGGATGGGGTGAGGGGGAGCCCCGACCCCGCGGGGGGTGGAGGTTGGGGGGGCTACCTCCTGGGTTGAGGGGTTAGGGAGTGATGTGCCCCCCCCGGGAGAGTGTCGCTGATCCCTTGATTATCACTGATCTTTGGGGTTTCTCCCAAAAAGTGCGTTTGCTGAGCTCCCCCACCTGTATGCTTTTCCCTTTCTGTGGTGTCAACGCTTGCTGTCCCAGCTGGATTTTTGGGGTGCAAGGTGTGGGTACTGGGCTCACAGCACCCTGCTGTGTAAAGCAGCCCCTGCTCTGCCCTCGGTACCTGGGGGAGGATCAGGCTCTTCCTTGCCACAGGGATGGCGCAGTTTGAAGTCTGCGTGCTCTGCTCACCTTTTGCCTAGCTCTCAGGCTAGTTCTTGCTTATACAAGTGAGGATCTCTTTTAGCAGAGAATAATAAGGTCTTGTACACCTGGGCAAAGTGCACCGAGCAATAGGAGAGCTAGATCTTGCCAAAAGATAAGCTGAGAAGTGTGCCCTAAGTTTGTTCTGCACCGCTTCTGCATGACTGGAAAATTGGGGCTGTGAATACTCATAGCTCTGTTTGTGCATACCCATAAACATGTTTGTATAAGCGATCACCCACCTTTGGCTTATCACTCCGAGCATTGCACAGGGAAAAAAAAAAAAATAGCTTTGGGCATATTTGCTGCAAGCAATTACGTGGGAAAACTTGTCTGGGAAATCAGACTGCTCTGCGCTCATCGGATCTGTGCCAACATGCAGCTGAGTGTGGCTGTGCAGGTAACATGGTGCTTGGGGACTTTTTTCCCCCCTTTTTGGCCAGAAGGTGTGAGGATGGATTGCTGCAGAGCAGGGAGCTGCCCAGTCCGTCCTGGTCCTGAGAGCACCCACCTGGTGTCAGTGGGGAGCAAGGGAATTGGGCTCTGCTGCTTGCGGGATTGGGGCAGGGGGAGAGGGCTCCAAGAGAGGACCCTGTTCACATGGTTTTACCTCTTCTACTTAAGCCCACGGGATTTCTGCCTCCACCGAGGCCAGACTGCACGCAGTTACTGCAAAGTCCTCTCCATGGGACTCTGTCGCATCTCTTGGTGGCAATAACAAAGCTTCTCCTTTATCTTTTATTTCTTTCTGAGAACAGGAGCCATCAGTCACAGGCAGTCAGCCTGTAGGCTCTCGGCAGCAAGTAGAAAATGTATTTCACAAGCAGGTTCTTGCAATCTCTTTGGGGAATATCATTAGATTGGCATCTGGTACAGGCAAAAATTGTGTGTGCATGTGTGTAATCTGCTCTCGATCTCGGCCCTGCTATTTGCCACCAGGACTTGGCAATACAAAGAGCAGAGTTAACTCCTGGGCTAAATCTGGCCTCGTCTGAAATCCAAATTCCCATCTGGAGGGCGTGCAAGAGATCTTCGTGTTTGTAGTAAAATGGCACTTTCCATCAAAGCAGGCAGGGGACTGCTGCATCCAACTGGAAAAAACTGCTGTTCATTTTTGTGGAGGTTAGTTTTTTTTTTTGTTTTTTTTTTCCCTTGAAGAATTAAATGAATTTCATTGGATTAGTACAAGATGGGCTTGGGAGTTACTCCTGTTGGTGATGGTAGTGAACAGAAAAGATGTGGCCAACAAGGCAGCCTGTTGTAGGCAGTCGGTGGTCACAGAAGATGTTTGTGCTCCGCTTGCTCATAACGTAGCATTTCCCTCGAGGTTGGCACTAGGGGTTAAAGGTTTTCAAGAGAAGCCTTTGTTGAAACATTTTTAAAGTTTCCAATAGGGGCCCCTTTGTTCGCTTTCTGAGCCGTGTGCCTGCCTTGTTAAAAACTCAGTTTAAAAAAAAAAACTCATAAAATGCCACTTCCAAATGCTGGATGAATAGGGCTGGAACATAGAGAGAGGCAGAGATAAGCAGCGTTTGTACCTATGTGCACATGCGATTTACAGACAAACCCTCCCCAACTGCACAAAAGGGACCCAGGAAAAACACAACAAAGATTGAGTGGTGCTCATAAAGACGCTTATAAAAATCAGCTGCTCCCCCAGAAAGTGTCCCTTTTGTGCCAGATGTCCTGCATGTTTCTTCCAGCTGTGCCACGAGGCTGAGCAGCTCCTGCATCACTACCTCGTGGAATTGTTTTCTCCACTTTGGGGACAAACAGTAGCAAATTGATGAGTGGGGCTGTGCTGGCTGCAGGGGAGCTCACGCAGCCCTGGGGCCAGCTGGCACAAGGGCTTTGAGCAGCCAGGAGCAGGGACCTGGCCTTGGTGCTCTATTACCTGCTGCAGGCTGGCGGAATCGCCCTTCGATGGGTATTTGGTGGTTAAGAGGGTTCTGTTTGCTCTCCCACCTGGGATAAATGTGAAGGGTTTAAGGCCAGCCCTGCTGAGTGCATGTGCTCAGGAGAGGAGGTGTCAGTGTCCAGCTGTGACAGTGCTTCCCTGCATGGTGCTCCTGACCTGATCCTGCATCTGAAGCTTTTTTGGCTCTCAGGCTGCTTCTCCATCCTAGCATTCCCCATTGGACATGGGATCCTTCTTCTCCGGCACATTTCTGCCTTTGCTTGTTGTTTTTGTTTTTTCCCCTAAACTTCTGATTTCTCACTTTGCAAGCCCTTAAGTGCACAGGTGAACCCATCCCTACCCTGGTGCACGTCAGGGCATCCCATAGAGGTCAGCTGGGGTTCCTTGCAGAGAGGTGATGGTGACTTTGTTCCTCTCTAAAGGCTGAGCCTTCCCGTCCCTGGGCTGTGCCGTGCTGCTCTGCTGGTTGACTGCCGGTGCCAAAGGGCAGGATCCTGATCTGCAGTCTGCAGGTTGTCCGCAGCAGGAATCGGTAGGAGCAGATCTGTTGCCAGTTCAGTTAGCCCACTGTGCAAGAGTCTGTTGTGGCTGGAAAATTACCGGGGTCCATGAGCTGGAAAAGACAGGAAAACCCTGCCTTTGGAAACTCACAGCTCCCACGCTTGCAGCTGGACTTGGATGGCTTCCTCCAAGTGTCACATCAAACACCCCCTTGCTCTTCTCTTCTCACAGCATCTTGCTTTGGTTTTAACAGCACCAGCCAGGAGCAGAGTGACACAAAACACTGCCATCTGCACTCAAATGCCAGGCAGAACCTGACAACCTCACAACCGCTCTCCCTGTCGTCTGCTGAGCCTCATGTCAAGCTGGTGAGGCTGATGGTGGGCTGGGAGCGGCTGCAGCCCCAGCATGTGGCTGTGTGTTCCCCTTGCTCTCTGAGGTGTCCCTGTGTCACTGTCCCAGTAGGAGAGCCAGCCCAGGTCCCAGTGCTGCCACAGACCTGCTCTGGTCTTGAGCAAGTGGCCTGGAGTCTCCTGGCCTCTGCTTGCTCATGCAGCACTGTAGGACTTGCCTTGGAGAGCCTCTTGAGGCCTCCAGACCTCAGCAAAGTGACTTTGGGCTGTTCCTTGGTGTCTCCAGGGAGCAACGAGCCTGTAGGTGTCGTCAGCAAGGACTCAAGAAGCACAACAGATTTAGATAACTTCAGCTACTTGCTCATGGATGGACCAAAAAAGGCAAACCTCACACTGTGGTAAGGCTGAAATCAGCAGGAGCGTCCGATGCTGCTCTGAGGTTTCCCGTACTGCCTTTGGGATTCTCAACACGAAAAGTATCTAGGCAAATATTTCAACCTTTTCTGTCGTGAGGAGGGCTGAGAAGTCTCCACATGCTTTCCTGTGGCAGCCAAAGTCTCCTTGCCTTCTGCTATTTCAATTAAACACGCAGCAGGGCGGGCAGAATAAAGGGGAGAGGCACGAGAATATTCTCCTGGCGTCTTTCCGTGTGCCAACACATTGAGTCACGTCTCCAGGGCGAGAAATATGATATAAAGATTTAGAGAAGGAGGTCAGGCAGCAGATCTGTGATTGTGGGGCTGAAATAGCAGGCGCTCGCTGCGGTTGCCTGTGCCCTGTGAGCTTGCTGGAGGTCAGCTGGGGATACTGGTCCCAGCAGATCCGGGAGGCAGAGGTCCTGCTAGGAGCCATCAGCCTCAGCGTTTAGAGACACCGGCTCTGCTGCATCAGAAGCTCAGCTGATGAACTCTGCACCAGCCCAGGAGCTGCTCTGGGCCATTTCTTTCCCTTTGTGGTTGAACATGCATACTTCTGGGGAAAAAATGCACTCTAACACCTTCCTCCCAGAACAAGGACTTGGGCCGTGGATTGCTGCCTCAGCTTCTGGATGGCCCACGCCTCTCTTCCTCCAAGGACTGAAGTCTCCTGGCTCAGGTCAGCTGTCCTCCAGGGGCTCGTTTGCAAGTGAGCATTCTCTTTTGAAAGAGTCTGGAAGGTGAGCACTTCCCCTGGTGATTTATTCTTCGTCAAAATCTAGAATTATTCCAAGGCCCATCCAGTTTTGCTGAAAATGCCCGGTGGGAGCAGGGCTGCGTGCAGCTCAGGGGACAGGATAACAAAGAACAGAGAACCTGCAACAGGAGCCATCTCTTGATGTGATTGATTGAACAGTCGGAACTGTCTCACCAGCTGATGTTTTCCTCTTGGCTACATCTTCAACACATGCTTTCAAAGGCCACGTTTAATGTGCAAGTGAACATGGCATTTTATTTTCTTGCCAGCTGCTGCAGAGCCCAGGTACTGCGTGTTTCAGAGCAGAGCCGGCTGGACTGCAGGAAATTCCTCCAAGCACAGCAGATATTTTAGGATTAGATCAGAGACAGACCCCACCTGCTGCCATAGAGGCCATCTAAAAGGGGATGCTCTGCCCATTGGATTCCCCTCAGAAGGAAGATGCTGGCTGTGGGAAATGCCACCTCATAGCACAAGCCTGTTGGGACATGTGGGATGTTAAATCCATGAGGATAAGCTGTGAGACAGATATCTGCCACTCACCCTGCAAACAGACACAGGCAAGAAACACCTCTCTGCTCTGTGTTTTGGGGAAGATGCAAACCCAAGCACGGGAATGGGCCCCAAAAATGGGGAATTGGCTATTTCAGAGAAGCCCCCTCAGCATCCAGCAAGGCTTTCCTGTTACAGCCGTCCCGCTGGGTCCGAAGGCACGATGTGCTGTTGGAGAAGCACAGCCTTGCCTCTTAAACACCGTGTCCTTCCAGGTGGCACTTGGCCCAGACGAGCTGCTGAGTGCTGTAACCGGAGAGCGCTGCGATGTCCTGGGAAGAGGCTGCTCTCCTTATCCCACACGTGCGTTGGGGAGGGACCGAGGGCGTGCCAGCCCTTATAAAGGGGGGAACATCTTTACTCTCTGTTGCTTTTGGACTGGGAATCTGTTCTGTTTCTCTGGTCCCGATGTGATGGTGCTTGCTGATGCTTTCTTGTTCTGCAAAATAGTCCCCGGGGTGGATCTGGGGCTCAGAGCAGCAGGGGCACCCCAGGACAGTTAGTCTGGGTTGCAGCCTCTCATGCTGCTCAGGGAGAGCTCTATGTTGAGGACTGAGCCCCGACCTTCCCAAGGGCACACTGCTGGGGACAGCCAGGCACCCAGGGTGCCCGAGGAGTCTGGAGCTTCATGCTTGGGGTGCAGAAACCTGGGAAAGGAGCCGCTGTGCCAGCGGATGTGCCAGCACCACTCTGCTGTGCTGCTAATGAGTGCAGGCTCTGGTTGTGTTTCAGTTTGATTTTGTTTTTTTCCCTCCTCCATTTCAGCTCAGGGAGTTTTAGCCTTGCTGGGACGCAGGCAATGTTTCTTTGCCACCTGAAGGAGACCTGCTGCTGTTTCCAGCATGTGTAAGCCTTCCGCACAGGCGGTGGGCTCCGAGGTTAGGTGTTTCTGGGCACCCCTTTGCAAAGTGCTGCAGGGCTGGGCTTCACCTCTCTCACATCAGCCCCATCCATCCGTTGAAATGGGCTGGGCCCTGCTCTGCTGCTCTGAAGTGCCTGCTGCCGTGCAGGCTACAAGCTCTAGAGAAGCACAGGTGTCACGAAAAGGGGAGCTGAGAAGCCAAGTTCCACTTTGAAACTGGGCTTCAGTCCAGCGACAGAGAGAAACCGACCTTTGGGCAGCCCTCCAGGGGAGTGTGGCTCCAGCTCCAGGAGCCTCGGCCTTTCACATTGCTTGAGTCTTGCAACTATTGAAACAACGTGCATGGGGGCTGCACAGCAAAACCCCAAATCGGGAGGGGTCTCCCGCTTGATGCAGATTGCCTGCATCTTTCCAGGCAGTCATTGCTTCCTTGTCACTCATGCCTGGGGCAGCACACATTGCTGTCTCCCTCCCCTGTCCCCACCTGCACTTTTTGGGCAGAATTTATTGTGGGCACAGGCCCAAAGGATGTCTCGCTGTCTTGCCAAGCGCAGGCACACGTTGGTGTCCCCATCTTCCAGCCTGAGGCCAGCTCTGTGATGCTGTCCTGAGCACAAGGACTCTGTGTCCAGGCTCCTGAGTGCATTTTGGGTCTTCTTTGGCACTTTATTGAATAATACTCAGGCAGGAGGTGAATTATGGCCTGCGACACTGCCTGGTGGGGTCTCTGCAAAGAAAAGCCCTGCGGTTGGGTGCAGAACAAAGCTGGGCATGCAGAGAGGCAGGGGGTCATGGGGACACCGTGTTTGGAGCTTTTCTATCATTGTCCAAGATCTCCAGCACAGAAATAGGTGCTATTAGCTGACAGCATCCATGGCATCAGGGCCATGCACCCCTTCCACATCGCCCATTTTAAATGTGGTTGTGTCTGAGACCTGGTTCTGGCCACGTAAACACAGGGGTCTGCTTTTCTCCCTGTGACACCACGGCCACCACTTGTCCTGTCTGTGAATGCACAGCCCTCTCCTGAGCCTCTCACCCCCTATTTCTCCATATTCTCCATTCCTCCTACACAGCAGCAGGCAAAGCCCAGTCCCTGTTTTTACACCAGGAGACGTGCTGGCTGCATCACCCCAGCCCTGCAGTTTCAGCTTGCCCAGGGGAGGATGCACCCAGGTCCAACCTGCGGCTGAATCAGAAGGGGAATATTCAGAGCATTTCTGTCAACCTGCAGCCAGCAGAGTGCTGCCAAGGAGGCCAGGCTGAAACCCGAAGCGGCTGTTTTTTTTTCCCCCGAGGCTCAGCACTTGGCGGGGAGCAGGACGGGAGGGAGGCGAGCGCCCCGGGGGGCTGCCTTACCTGGCTGCCTCTGGGGGTTCATCCCGGCGTCCTCCTTGTCCCAGGGCACGAGGGGAGCTGAGAGGAGCCTGGGCTCATTGCCAGCCCTTTTGCCCCTATGTGTGGCTTGTCCTTTTGCTGCCCCACGTGTTGACCATCTCCTTCAGCAAGGAAAATCAATGGGCTGGCTTCCCCCCTTGTCTTTTCCCCTTGAAATGGTGGGGAACTGGTGCGAGGTGTCCCGCACGGCAGAGCCAGCCCTGCGCAATGCTCACCCCCCCAGCCCTTTTCTCCTTTATAGCTCAGTGTTATCTCAAGGTCCCTGCTGCTGTTTGCCTTGCCTCGCAGCACCTGCCTGCCAGCCGCCTGCTTCCCACCCATCTCCCTCCTGCTCCTGGTGGCAGGGGGCTCTGGTGTGCTGCACCCCACAGCGTGGGGTGAACCCCCCCATGGGGAGCAAGAAAAGCAGGTAGCTGTGGAAATCATCCAATATGGGGCGGTGGGAGGGATACTCAAGGGTTTTTATCAGCCTCCCAATCCCCATCAGCCTTCCTGCTAGGTGTTTGATTAAATTGGGGACAGCCAAAACAACCCTCTTGGAGCTGGATGTGTGGCTGAGCCACCGTGCCCGGTCCAGCCCCTCCAGCCATGGGGAGTGTGAAGGCTTCATCCAGCACTCGGATGCTGTTAAAAATAGATCAGTCGTGAACTGGTTTTCTCCTCCTTGGTTCCTGGCCCGCGACTTCATTCCTCCCTCCGGGCTGGCTCTGGAGCTCTCTGGATGCTGCGAGACGCAGGCTCCGTGCCAGCCTGCCGCTGCAGGGAGGCTTGGAGAGCAGAGACCTGCAGACGTGAAATAGGTGGCACAACTGTCCCTAGAATATTGATTTTAAGACGCAGTTGTGCAACCTGTTATCAGCATCAAATACATTGGGTTCAGGGCTGCACACAATCTCTCAGCAATTAAGTGGAAACCGTGGTGATGAATTACAACCGAGACCTCATGGGGCTAAGCAAATATCGGCCGATAACCACCGATAAAATGAATTTCCAGTGTGCTTTTTCAACAAATACTGTTCCAACGCCTGCTCCCCATCTCCCTGGGGAAGCTACACTGCCTGCAGTATTTCCCTGCTGCCCCTTGGGTTTCCAACCTGCACCGGGGCTGCTCTGGATGCTGGGGCTTTGGGCTCCCTCCCGGTGATCCCCCTTATCCGAGGGTGCCTGGGCACCTCCTGACTTTGCTTTCATTGCACTAAGGTTGTGCTGTTACAGCCCCAGGTTTGCCATTTCTTTCACTAGACTCAGGCATGGCAGGGGGGCTGGCACCTGCTCAGTCCTTGCCTTATAGCCCCCCCAAATAAATCCACAGAAATACAGGAGCCAGATGAGGGCAGCCAAAGCCAAGGCAAGAAAACATAGAAATGGGCAAGGAGGGAGATGAACAACAAGCTGAGGTTTTGGATAACCAGTCTAAATATCTGTTTCCTCAGCTATCCCACCTCAAACGCCCAAATCCTTCACCCAGGTCCCACAAACCCATCTGCATAGGTACCATCACCTCCCGTGCATGTGGAGGTTTTTGTTTTCTGCTCTCCCAGAAAAATGTCAGAGAACAAATTCTTGGAAAAGCAGTCTTTGCCAGTGACTCTGAGAGTCTTCTGAGCAGGTTTTGCTGGGCTGGCGTTTAATTTTGGGGGGTCTTTTCCCAGCACGGAGCTGGTGGCCCTGCGATGCTGGGAGCGGTGGGGCCGTGGTCGCGCGTCCCCGGGAGCGGAGCTCCGCTCGTCCTCTGGCTGCGGCGAGCGGCCGTAGCGCCAGGCAGGGAGCGCTTGGCTGAACATCCCAGCCGCATGGTTTGCAAGTGAAAATAAGGCTTGTCTGGTGGCCAGCTCCACCCAGAGCAGAAAATCAGGCCGGGTTTTTCACTTGGCAAATCGTCGCTATTGTAATGAAACGTAGCAGCGCTGAGGCTGCCCGGCCCCGCTTGGAACAGTCCCCGCCTGGGTTTCGGGGAGGTTTGGGGACGGATCTGGCACAACTGCTGCTGCTGTCTGGGGGATTTGGCAGTGCCAGGGGCACCCCCTGCCCGTGGGGTTTGTCAGCAGGAGCTGCAAGCCGTGGGGGTCAGCACTGACAGCACATCTCCTCTCTGCAGTGCCCGCAGCAAGGATGAAGCTCCTGCCGGTCGCTCCTCTCCTCCTGCTTGTCCTAACGACACTGGAAGCCAGGCCAAAACCTGCAGGTGAGCCCCGGCTGCTGCAAATTGCTTAGAGGGGAGAGAAGTGAGTGTGTGAGGGCAGCAAAGCTCTTGGAGAAAGGCTTGGCGAGGACCTGATGCTTTGGGGCATCCCCAGGAGGATGCAGGGTCCTCACCTGCACCCATGCACGGGGGTCTCCTGGTGGGGAGGATGAAGCAAATTCAGGGGCACCAGCCTCTGTGCTCCCCGGGCAGAGGTGGCCAAATTGGTTCCAGTTTCAAAAGCCATGAAAGCACCGTATGGAGAAAGGAGCCGAACGTGTCTCAGAAACCTCTGGGCACTTGGGAGCAGCTGGGATGACAGCCCCAGTCTGGGCATCGTCCCAAGGGGGCTCGGAGCGTTTGCTTACCATTATGGCCAAATTCTCCCAGGCTCTGGTGTACACAAGCCAAGCAAAATATGTTCATTGGCTTTTCACTTGCTAAACACCCGCCCAGTTTGCACTGGAAGTTGCACCCATGTATCCAAGAGAGGCTGTTTGGCTCGACCCTCTCAATGTGCATGTCTGTAGCAGGGCTTTTCATTGTCTATTTTTTTTCCTTTTTTTTTTTTTTTTTAAAAAAAAAAAAAAAAAGAGAATAGAAAGCTCTGGTTTTAGACAGGAACTGGAAAAATGCAGTAAAAAACAGGAGGTTGGAGCTGCAGGAGGGACAGAGGAACTGCTGCAGAGATGAACACGCCACTGCCTAAAACTGCCTGAGCCTTGCCAGGGCAGATCCAGACAGACAGAGGTGTTTGTGCAGGAGCAGGGCAGCAGCAGGATTTGGGGACAAGGGGACACTGCCATTCCCTATAGCCCCATGGCCAGGGCTTGTGTCCCCTGCCTCCTGTTCCCAACCCCAACCAGGCACCCTCCGTAGGTTCATTTAGCAGTGGGAAGGTGCCAGTGAGCCCTGACCTGCCCTCTCCTTCCCCCACGAGCACCCCTACAGCCACCCAAAGGGGACACCTCTGCTCCTCGCAGGCTAAACCACCTCCTTGCCCTCTTGCAGCCCTGAAGTGCAGGACGGGCCCCCTGGACATCGTCTTCGTGATCGACAGCTCCCGCAGCGTGCGCCCCTTCGAGTTCGAGACCATGCGGCGCTTCATGATCGACATCATCGGCAACCTGGACGTGGGCCCCAACGCCACGCGCGTGGGGGTGATCCAGTACTCCAGCCAGGTGCAGAACATCTTCTCCCTCAAGACCTTCTTCACACGGGAGGACATGGAGAAGGCCATCAACAGCATCGTGCCGCTGGCCCAGGGCACCATGACGGGGCTGGCCATCCAGTACACCATGAATGTGGCCTTCACGGTGCAGGAGGGCGCGCGCCCGCCGCACAAGAAGATCCCCCGCATCGCCATCGTGGTGACCGACGGACGGCCCCAGGACCGGGTCACCGAGGTGGCCACGCAGGCCCGGGATGCTGGCATCGAGATTTACGCGGTGGGCATCCAGCGGGCAGACATGACCTCGCTGCGGGCCATGGCCTCGCCGCCGCTGGAGGAGCACGTCTTCCTCGTGGAGTCCTTCGAGCTCATCCGGCAGTTCGGGAAGCAGTTCCAGGACAAGCTGTGCGGTGGGTGAGAGCCGCGGCGGCAGGGTGGTGACAAGGGTCCCGGTGCCTGCTCCTCACCCTGCACCAAGAGCAGGAGAGAAGATGGTCCCCAGGGGGTGTTTGGGGTGGCAGCGCGCAGCCTCAGCCAGAAGGAGCTCTGCCTCAAGCAAAGGCTGAGATGTGCCCAGGGGCACACTGCCCTTCTGGCAATGCCTTCGCCTGCTGCCTCCCTGCCCCAGTGCCCACTTCCCAGCCGGGTCTGTTCACGTGGATGTTCACACAGCTGCCTGGGCTCCTTCATGAAGAACAGCCGAGCTCAGGCCGTCAACAGTAGCAATTAACAGTGAGCATTTAGTGCTTGGGTAGACCTGAACGCCAAAGCCATTCAGAAACCTGCACAGCACAAGGGGTTCCTGTGCCCGTGCACTGGCAATCAGCCCTATGGGACACCCCACAGGGACAGGGAGCATGCAGGAGAGCTGTACAGGAGCCCGTGGGCCACTCTGACCCCTCTCTGTCTTGCAGGGGTGGACATGTGTGTGGAGCGCGACCACGGCTGCCAGCACAGCTGCGTCAGCACCCCCGGCTCCTTCTACTGTGAATGCAACCCCGGCTACCAGCTCAACGCAGACAGAAAGACCTGCTCCCGTAAAAACCTTTCTTTATTCTAACTCTCACAAAGGTGCAGGTCTTTTGGAGGGGAGCTGAAATGCAGCTGAGGGCCCAGCGAGGCCAGCAGCAGCGGGGTACTCCCAGTATTTGCCCTCCCAGAGGGCAGAGCAGTATTGGCTACTTCTGGCCATCACCCCGGCACCTTTCCTTCTTGCCTCGTGGTTCTGCGCCCAGGGAACTGCCCCAGGGACACCGAGGCATGAAGGTGATGGGTGTCTGCTTCCCCCGCAGCCATCGATGCGTGTGCCGACGGGAGGCACGGCTGTGAGCACCAGTGCGTCAGCGCTCGTGGGTCTTACTCGTGCCGCTGCCGTGCAGGTTACTACCTCAACCAGGACAAGAGGACCTGCAGCAGTACGTGTCCTTCTCCCTCCCTGCTGCTTCTTCCTTTCCTTCTTCATTTGCTTCTTGCTCATCCTCCCCTTGTCCCTCAGTATGTTGCCCCTTCCCTTGCTAACATTCCCTGCCCTTGCTCATGCTGGAAACAAGGGCTCGGCGTCTCCCCAGCTTTACTCTGTTGCCACAAGCAGGGTCCTGGTCCTGCCCCATGCCGCAGTGGGACCCGCAGAGCCCCCCTGCCAGCCTCCCCCTGCCTCCTTCTCTCCCCAGTGATTGATTATTGCAGCTTTGGGAACCACAGCTGCCAGCACGAGTGTGTGAGCATCCCCAGCGGGCACCGCTGCCGCTGCCACCGCGGCTTCACACTGCAGCCCGACGGCAGCTCCTGCAGGGGTGAGTCCCGCGGGATGCACAAGGGTGCTGGGGTCCCCTGCTCACACAGGGGTAACCCCGTGCCCTTGCCTTGTCCCCCAGCCACCGACCTCTGCAACGGAGTGGATCACGGCTGCAAGTTCAAGTGCGTGACCAGCGAGGGCTCGTACCACTGCGTGTGCCCCGAGGGGCAGCAGCTCCAGGCTGACGGGAAGGGGTGCAGCCGTGAGTACTGGGGTGCAGCACTGAGTTTTGGGGTGCAGCACTGAGTACTGGGGTGCAGCTCACCCTCCGGGCTGCAGTGTGGGGCTGCTGGGCACCCAGCTCCCAGCGAGGGCTTCACCCACATGGGCAGCTGCGAGGGGCTCTGCGTGGGTGGATGTGGGCTTGCGTCCACAGAGACAGAGCCCAGAGGATACAACAGGAGATTTTGGGAAAGGTTCAGGAAAAGGGAGACCTAGGAGGGATGTCCAGGGGGCCCTGGGGTGGCAGTGGAGCAGTTTGGATGGAGGTCCCCAGGCGTTCTTGCCCCACTGCCCGGCCTCACCCCATCCCAGGGGCCCAAGCAGTGTCCCGCTGGTCCCTTCCCACCCCGCCGTGTGCCCGCAGGGTGCGGGGCTGGGCACGTTGACCTGGTGATGGTGATCGATGGCTCCAAGAGCGTCCGGCCCCAGAACTTCGAGCTGGTGAAGCAGTTTGTGAACCGCATCGTGGACCTGCTGGAGGTGTCCCCGCAGGGCACGCGGGTGGGGCTGGTGCAGTACTCCAGCCGTGTCCGCACCGAGTTCCCCCTCAACAAGTACCACAGCGCGGACGAGATCAAGGAGGCTGTGATGAAGGTGGAGTACATGGAGAAAGGCACCATGACCGGCCTTGCCCTCAAGCACATGGTAGAGCACAGCTTCTCTGAGCTGGAAGGGGCCAGGCCCCTCTCCCACAACGTACCCAGAATCGGGCTGGTCTTCACAGATGGGCGCTCCCAGGACGACATCTCTGAGTGGGCCAGGAGAGCAAAGGAGTCAGGTGAGGGGCAGGGGGCTGGGAACCATCCCAGGATGGATCCTTGGGATGGTTGGCTCTCGGGACATGGGTTTAGCCTGCCCACCGCACCCAGGCTTGTGGTGTTGCATTGCCTGCACCATGGTGTCAGGATCCTCTGAACAGCACCATTCGTGCCGCAGCATGCACTGTGCTGGTGCTGTTGTGCCCCTGCCTTTCCCAAATCCATGCCACGCGTGGGGGAAGCCCCAGGGTGGGGAAGCACTCAGCCTTACTCACTCTGTGTTTGGGAATCACCTGCTGTGGGGTGCTCAGGGTCCGTCCTCGCCCTGCAGGCATTGTCATGTTCGCCGTGGGTGTCGGCAAGGCAGTGGAAGAGGAGCTGCGGGCCATCGCCTCCGAGCCGGTGGAGCAGCACTTCTCCTACTCGGCAGACTTCACCACCATGACCCACCTGGTGGAGAACTTCAAGCTGAACATCTGCCCAGGTGGGTGCCCAGCCACGAGCCCTCATCGCCCTGAGGATCCTGCAGGGTGACTTGAGCCACCCTGCAGCTCACCCATCATTGCCAGCATCACCTATAAGGCTTGTGGCAGCCTGGCAGGGGCAGGTAGAGCCCCTAAACTGAGCCCCAGGGCTGCTGAAACCCCATGGTGCTCCTCTTACTGTTCATAGAGGGTTAAGTCTCAGGGAGGGATTATTTAGAAGAGGAGAAGCTGGGGGTGAGGGCTGGAAAGACGAGGGGCTGGTGCTGCATCGGGGGGACGTGAGCGGGGCCAGCTGTGGCACTGTGCCCTGAGCACTCCCAAATCCCACCGACACAGAGGAGGGCAGAGGGGAGACAGAGATCCGGAGCCCATGTGAGTGCGAGGCGCTGGTGCAGTTCCAGACGAACACCGTGGCCATCCTGCAGAGCCTGACCGAGAGGAATATCCTTTGGGTGCTGCGTGGGCGCACCGGGGCGCAGAGCAGCCCGCAGCTCTGGGGGGCTGCATCCAAACTCCTGCCGGGGGAGGCACAGGGGCTGGCAGCAGGGATGGGAGGTGGGGACGGGTAGGGCAACCTGTGCTGGCCAGTGAACACTGTCAGATCTTTCAAGAGATAAAAGGCAGCGCTGTGACATCTCACGGCAGGGAAGCTCAGTCCCAACCACGGTCTCCAAAGGGAGGGTCCCTGGGTGCCAGCAGGCACGGGTAAGGCTCAGTCCATGCTTGTCTGGGGCATGTTTCTCTCTCTTTGCCTGGCTCACGGTTTCCTTAGCACACTCACTTGCTCAGATGACGGCCAGACTGGAAGCCTTGGAGAAGCAGATTGCCCTCAAGAAGTGATCCTCGCAGAGAGCCGCGGTGCTCGGGGAGGGCACAGGGACCTCCGGTAGCTACGTGGAGCTGTTATTGCTAGATTATGTGTAAAGCATCGTTGTTTGTTCTTGTATCACAAAATCACGAGGGGACGTGGAGTGTATTTAAAAAAAAAGGAAAAAAAAAAAAAAAGAACTTGAGCAGAAGCCTTGCCACAAAGCAAATGGGCTGAGCCCTTGCAGTTGCCTCGTTCCCCCAGCCTGAGATGAGCTGGGCACTGGAAGAGGAGATGTGGTGCAGCTCCTACAGCACCTGGCTCCAGCCCCAGTGCTCACCAAGGTGCTTTGTGAGAGAAAAACCCGGCGGTGAGGGCACCCGGAGAGCTGCTGTGGGCAGGGCGAGCCCAAGCTGCCGGCAGCATGGGGCTGGACGGGGTGTAAGGGGCGTAAGCCCCTTGGCTGTGGGGACACAGCCCCAGCGTGCACCCATGGGAGAGAGGGCATCAGGATCCCCTCGTCCCTGTTTTGGCAGGATTGTTTGGGAATTGGTCATTATCTTGTGATTTTGTTTTTGTTTTTGTTTTTGTTTTTTTCATCACATAGCAAAATGGTAATAATTCTTTCTATAAATATCTACGTGTGTGTACATATATATTTCATGTCGAGAGCAGGGTAGTGCTATTTTTAAACACTTATTTTATATATGGAAATTTCTATCTTGACAATAAACACCCTGGAGATTTGTAGGACGTGGCTCTCTCCTTTTTGTTGGGCCTGTGTCCATGGAAGTGTCTGTGTCCGAGCAGGGACCCTGTGGCTTTTGCCAAAGCCCCGTGCCCTCAGGCTATGAAAATCCTTTGGGAAAATCCTTGCTTCTTGAGCACCCCAAGTGGGTCCCCAATGGGGACAAGGATGGGGCTCACAAATCGAGGCAGAGGTGTGAACCTAACCCCACTGGGCAGGCTGCAGCCCTGCCGCTGGTGGTGGGACCTCCTTGCTTGGCATGCAGCTCCCTGAAAAGCAAACGGTGAAAAATTAAAAGGGAAAAAACAACAACAGCAACAACAAAAAAAAACACTTAGTCTAGGATTTAATAACAGGCTTGATTAGAGCAGATAATGGCGCACACTGAGAGTTTGTATTAAGCCTGGGTTGGACTGGTGACACATTGGCAGCGTGTAAGGCAGGCTGCAGGCTCACGGCGAGACCTTGGGGCTCTGCAGGCGCTGGGGGTCCTGCCCTGGGGCCAAGGGATGGGAAGGGGCCAGCAGGAGGACGCTGTGGGGGGAACGAGGGGTACAGTGGGATGAGGGAGAGCAGCAGGAGTGAGGCACCAGCTGGCTCTCATCCAGCTGGGATTTTTTGGGGGAGCATCCCGGGGCAGAGCAAAGCCCCATTAGGGCCCCCTCCTGCAGAGCACCCCTGGTGGCTTCTCACTAGGTGGCACCAGACACCAGCGCTAAGGAGGGGGCGCTGGGTTAGGGCACCCTGCCCCTGGGGACCCCAAGGCGAGCGGGGTGTCCTCTGCGGGGAGCTGGAGAAGGGTGGATGGGGGGCCAGGGAAAAAGCACCGCATCGCCCCGAGCTGCTGCGTAACAGGGACAAGGGCTGGGCTACAAGGCACAGGCTGTCCCCGGCGTGCTTTGTGCACCCCGATAAAGAGGGAGCCTGGCTCCACTCAAACCCCGAGCCGAGGTGAAAGGGTGCTGCTGGCCTTCCCCCTGCCATCCTGGGGAAAAACAAAGCAGGGAGAGGGGAAATGGCAGCACCAGCCTGCAGCAGGCTGAGCACTGCTCGGCACAGGCCCTTTCCACGTGGGGCAGTCAGGGGGGTGCTGGGGAGGGCTCCGTGGGACCCGCCCCTGCAATGCGGGGTGGGGGGACAAGGGGTGCCACACTGCATCCATCTCGTGTTCAGGCTGCCATGGTCTGGGTCCTTCCGAGGGGGTTGCAATAGAAGCAGGTTTTAGACATTTCCCCTGTGGATCAAGTGCTTTCATCTCCCCCAGAAGGATATTTTTCCCTCCAGGATTTCAGCTGCTCCGTGGTGTTTTTTCCTCCCGCAGGTGCAGCTCCAGGCCCTGGCAGCAGCCGGGAGCACCACCCTGCCCTCTCCCCGTCCCCAACCACAGCAGCAGCTGAACTGCTACAGATTGCTCCAAAATCGCTCCAGTGCTTCTATTTCCCATCGACAGAGTTCAGTTATTGGTGCACAGCCCAGAAAGCCTGTTTGGGTTGGCTGAATCCTTCCACAGTGGTTTAACAAATGACTTTACAGAGAGCGAAATGTAGCCAGAGGATCATTAGGGCAGCTGGGCAATAATTAACAGATACCCGTGAGTTAAAGGCCAGTTACCAGGGCATGTGAGAAGCGCTAGGGGAAGAGCATGGCAAGATGCCCGCAGAGCCCTGAGGGGACAGGGCGATGGCAGGGACCTCATGGGGCACAGAGGGGTGATGCTCCTGCTCTTCCTGGTCCTTTCCCCGCCCTGTTGCAAAACCAGGGGCTGCCCCAGGCTGTGTTTGCAGGCTCACGGGATGACTGGGGGCTGTGTGCATGGCTGGGGGGTGCCTTTCCCCCGGGACATCCCCTGCGCCTGCTTCCAGCACAGCTCTGGGCTGTGCCTGCAGCAAGGATCCCTTCGGGAAGCGTTGCACAAGGTGAGGGGACGTTACCCTGCTGCTGGGGAGTGGGGCAACTGCACATTGCCCAAGAGCACCCGCAGAAAACAGCTCTGCCTGGGGCAGGGGTGCACACTCCTTGTGCAGGGGGATCTTTGCCTCTCCCCAGCAAACCCCCATCATTGCAGGGTCCCCGGGAAGGCTTCTCCTGGAGGCCTGTGCCTGCGCAGGAGCGGGCAGACCCCCCAGGACCAGCTGCCTTCATTTTGCCCCCCACAGCCCAGGTGCAACCACACGGGGCGGTTGTGCAAGGCAGCACCAGCTTTTTGAGCAACGGAGCCGTCCCATCCGTATCTTGTGCAAAAGGCTTCCGGAAAACACAGGGGGAAAAGGCACAAACGTCGACATCCCCCAGCCTGCTTCCCACCCCCATCCTCCCCCAGGAATTTAAGTGCCAGCATCCCCCAGCGACCGCACACATCTCCCAGGGGCTGCGGCAGCATGAGGTCCGTGGCTGCCCTCCTCCTCGTGGGGATGCTCATCGCCTGGATGGAGCTGCCAGCAGGTAATATAAACACTTTGGGAGGGAGGAGAGGTGTCCAAGGGGACGGGGTGGCACCCGGCCTGTGCATCAGGAGGGGACAAAGCCCTCTGGGGACCCTCCTGGGCTGCAGCCCCCTCACCTTGCAGGCACCGCCTGGTCCTGCCCGCGCATCCGCGTCACCTGCGCCATTCCCAACCCACCGAACAAATGCGACAGCAGCTGGCAGTGCCCCCGCCACCAGAAGTGCTGCCAGGGTGCCTGCGGCAGGAGATGCCTCTCGCGCCCGCCTGGCATCCCCACGTCCCACGGTACCGTCCTCTCCGAGCCACCTGCGGTGGCCGTGGCCCTGGGCAGGGAGGTGGCCACAGTTTTCAGGGCTGGGGGTGGCCCAGGTGCTCTCTCTCAGCCCCTCTCCCTCTCTCTTTCCCTTTCCCCAGTGTGAGGGCCCGGCTTCTCCGCATCCCCGTGCCACCTCCGGTACCAGCCCGCTGCTCGCAGCCCGGGGAGGACTGTCCTGCTGGGGACAGGGACGGGGACAGCTCCTTGCCCACGCTCTGAAACCTCCCTGGCTGCCGAACCAGCTGCCACAGGATGCTGCCTGCTCTCTGCTCCCTCTCTCTTTTCCCTTCCCTGCTGCTGTTACAAATAAAGGAACTTGTTCCAGGAGGGCTCATGGTGTGTGTCTCCCCTCCCTGCCCCTCTCCAGGCCCACCCTGGCGCACACTCCCCCTGCTGCTCCCTCCCCAGGATTTGTGCCAGGGGAAGAGGAGGAAGCCCACCCCTCTACAGACCCAGCATGTGGTTAGGGGCTGCCTGGGGGCAGCAAATCCCTCCCGAGGCACCCAGACCCCGAGAGGAGGGTTGGAGGGGCCGCAGTGAGACCCAACTTCAGGGACCTCCCAGCAGGCTGAAGGGAAGCGGGTGGGCAGCATGTCCCTGGGTGTACCCGAGCCGGGCAGGGCGGTGGGACAGGGAACGGGACCCCCTGTGGTACCCAGCAGCTGGGGAGGGGTTACACAGCCCCATAACCCAGGGTGCTGAGCCCCTTGCTTTGGGGCCAGGCTTTCATGGGGTGCTGAGACAAGTTGGCAGCGTGCAGCCTGCTGGTGTCTGCTGCAGGGACAGAGTGGCACCCCACAAGTGACAGGGACGTGCCAACAGCCTGCACGGTGCCTGTGGGGGGTTAAAACACCGGGTGAGCCAGCAGGGGCAGGCAGAAGGAGGGCCAGGGGCTGGGAGCAGCCAAACCCAGGTGGGAAATCGGACAGCATTTAGGACCAGCACAGCACCTGCCCGTGGGGATGTCCCTTGCCACCCTCATGCCAAAGAGGGGGGGCAGAGCCCTGGTGCTGTCCCCAGGCTGTCCCCATGGCCGCGATGGCACGCGTGGTGGCACGTCCCATCAGTCACAGATCGCAGCACCCCTCCTCCGGCAGCTCCAGCCATTATCAGCTATTAAGCAGGCATTTCCACGCAGCTGGCTAATTTGATAACGCTGCAATTATCCCGGTTTGTTAACAAGATTAAATTGCTAATTGGTTTGATTAAGCACCACGCTCCAGGCACCGGCTGCTTCCAGCAGCGCTGGTGACCCCGGCCAGCCCAGCCCCCTGTGCCCAGGGCAGCAGCTCCTTTGTGGGGGCAGCTACAGGAGACAGCTCTGGGGGGGGGGGGGGGTGTTATCCTGGGAGCTGCTGAAAGGGACCTGCAGACCTCCACGTGAAGGCTGCAGAGCTCTGCCCTTCCCTTGTCACCGCTGTCACCCAGCTGGGCAGGAGGAGATGGAGAAGGCAGCCAGGGGAGGATGCCTGAGGGTCCCTCAGTCCGGGTTCTTTCTGCTCTGGGGTGCTGCAGGTTAGGGATCAGATAGTGGAGCAGCCCCAGACACCCACCTGGAGCTGCAGCTTGAGCTCTTCTCTCCCTCCCTGGAAGCCCCCCCACTGGGGCTGAGGTTTGCCTGCACCCCGGGACAGCCAGCACCGCCTGGCAGGAGCAGGACAACGCTCCCCAATGCAGACGAGGAAGGCACGACCCTGACTGTGGGAAGCTGCTGGCAGCGAGTTCTGCCTGGAAATCCTTTGGATCTGGGTCTTGGGGAAAGGAGGGAATTCCACCGTGCATCGAAGGTGTTCGTGCCAGGAGACAGCAGGGGAGCAGCGCGCCCTGTGCCAGCCAGGAGACGCTTCCCTGCTGGCTCTGCCCCCATCATCTGCTCTCCTGAGGCTGGAGCAGCGTGGGGACAGAGCCCTTGGTCCTCTGCCTGGGCCTGACGCAGAGGATGGAGAGGGAAGGTCTCACCCCCAGTATGCTCCTTGTACACTTGAACATCTTTTTAATATTTTCTCGGAGCCTTCTCCCTGCGTGTTTCATGCTCTGGCTCAGCAGTGTGGGTGCTCAGGGTGAATACAGAGCAGTTTAGCACTCTGGAGTGACGCGAGACCTTTTCAGGGGATGATTCAGACTGGCCTAATCAGAATTACTACAGCTTTGAAAACCTTTGCAAAGAGAGGCTTATTTAACTAGCCCGGGCCAGGAGTGGGATGCTGTAGTCCCAGTAGGATGCAGCAATTGCATCAGAGCCGTCAGAGGAGAGCCCCTGGGCTGAGCAGATCCACGCTGTGCCCCCGGCCGGGCACCGAGCGCAGCCCCCGCCTGCTCCGCGCACAGGCAGCGGCGTTTCGGGAGGGAAAATGAGTCAACGCCCTCCTGGTCCCCGCACACGAGGAATAAACACACCTCTGCAGAACCGCAGCCCGTCCTCCCTGCTGAAGGTCAGCGTGGTTATGAATTCACCCCGTGCCTCAACACGTGGGGTGTTTTCTTTGTTTCTTTGAGCTCTGCTCCCCCATGGCCAGTCCCTGCAGGCTGCAGTCGAGGTGCTCATGGCCAGACCAGAGCTCTCGTGCAGTTGGGGCCCTCCAGCATGGACTGTCTGATGGCACAGGGCTGCCTTTGTCCTGATCCAGCCCTAGCCACGACCACCCTCTGTGGCACTGGTGCCTTTGGGACCGTCCCTCATCCTCTCCTCCCTTAAGTGCTGCTTCATCCTGGACCAGTTCTGGGGTGGCCACACACGAGCCGAGGGGCAGCAGGGCTGTGCCTTGCCCAGCTGAGCCGCTTGGCTCCCTGTCCCCACCGAATCCCCCTGGAAATCCTCACCAGGCTGCTGCCTGCTGGGGCTGCACGCCCAGGAGGCCGCCAGATGAACCAGAGGCACTCGGTTCCCTGAGCCTCTGCCGTCGGTCTGAGCCTTGGCACGGACCCCCTGAGGCTGGTAAGGGATGAGCTTGGTGCAGAAGCAGGCGTGCAGGAAGCAGCTCTCTTTGGCCCTAACGCCGGGGACATGGGGACCCGCCAGCTTGGCCTGCTGCACGTGGCCAGAGCTGCTCAGCCAGGGGGTTCAGAATATTTTGGGGAGTGCATAGAGTCTCACACACAAAGCCATCGTTTCAGGCTACAAACCCACCCTTAGAAAATGAATACATTAATTAAGAAGCAAAGGAATAAAGTGGTGGCAGCCCCCTGTAGCTAGGAGAGACCCCTAGCCAGCAGCTCCTTGTCCCCATGCACAGGGGACAGAAACCTTTCTCCTGCAGCCAGCCACACTGCACGGAGGCTGCAGAGAGCTCAGCACGTGGAGGCTGGGCAGTGGTGAGGGCAGGAGCTCCCCCAGCCTCCTGCAGCTCCCGAGCCAGCCCCGCAGCCCCTCGGAGAGGCCCCCCCACCATTCTGCAGCCAACAGCTTTGGAGCCCCTGAATGCTCCTCTACAGAACAGTGCACAGCCAGGAAAGCATCCCCTGAATCCCACTGAGCACCAGGGGCCCCGCATCCCCTCCCGGGTGCACAGCTCACCAGGACCCCCCCCAGCCAGCCCCAAAGCCACCCCCGGCGGGCAGGGGGCTCTTCACGTAGTCGGGCAGCACAGAGGGGCTCCAGCTGCAGAGGGGAAGCTGTTTCCAAGCTCCTTCGGTAGCATCCCGTGGAGCAGGGCACCGGCAGCAGCACCAGCACCGGGGAATTCCTGCCTCTGCAGCCCTGCCTGTGCCAAGGCGCACGCAGATGCTCCTTCCCTGATGGTTATGTAGGTTAATAGCATGCAATGCGATTGCAAGGCACAGGCAACCGCAAAGCTATGTCAATATTTAGCGTTTACACATTTGGCTAATTAGGGAGCAACCTGTGATTGCCTCCGAAGGAGGCAGGGCTGCGTCGCCCATCTCCCTCCCCCTCTCCGCGTGCTCCTGGTTGGGATGGAGGAAACGTCGGCTCATTATTTCTGGAGTTCTCTGGCCACAAACAGTCCGTCCCGAAATGCTGTGCCCAGGCGCTGGATGTCAGAAATCATTATCCTAAATACAGCTCCATGCATGATTCATGAAGCTGGGCTTCACATTAATCAGGGAGAGATGGGCGAAAGCGGAGCAGCGTCGCAGACCGCTGTGCACAGGCAGGCGAACGGGAAGATGAGATTTGGACCTCTGGGGCTAAAATCAGAGGGATGGTGCAAATCAGAGAAACAGCCACGGTCCCAAAACAATCAGAGCCCATGTGAGTAGAGACCAAATGCAGGCAATGGGCCGATGCCCAAGTACCTTTCTGCTTGAGGAGCTGCTGCGACTCGATCACATTAATGAGCGCAGGGCAGCCGGCACCGTGGCTCTGAGCAGCCTCGGAGATGCTCGGCTGCTTTCCACATTAGCCCTGGTCCGGGCAATGCGCTGGGCCAGCAGTGGGACTCACACAATGATGTGATATTATGATGTGCAGAGCGTACTGCGATGCTCTGCACAGTATGACCACTAAAAATAGAAAAATGTGTGGTTTTTTTTTCTGAAATGTCACTGGGAGGTTCCTGGGCAAGCTGGGTTTCTGCACCGATGCCACACTGCGCCCCAGCAATCAGGACCTTCTTGGGACACAAATGCTCCTTCCATTGCTCCAGGGCTTGGGAAACCAGGGAGATGTGTCATCTCTGTACCTGGATCTGCCCCAAACACGAGCCCTGGGCCCCGACGGTCAAACAGCCAGTGTGGGTTGCCCTCGGTGTGCCAGTGTGGATGGCGAGCTGCAGCAGGACGCTGTGCGCATTTTGCAGGAGCAAGTGTCCACGCCAGGCTCAGCCCCTGAGCTCCATCCCCACATCCTGGGCTGTTCCTTTGCCACTTGTACAACCACTCCTGGTTACAAATAAATAAATGAATGAACCCACAAAAATGCAGTGACAAGCAGCCAGGCCAGCCGTACAGAAGGGGGAAATCCATAGCTGGCATTGTAAAACCTGGGCTCTGAGATGAAAGCAGCGGTGACCCCTGTGTCGTGGAGGAAGCAGGCAGCACCACCAAGCCCCGCAGCCCTGCTGGGCTGGGACAGCTTGGGAGAGTGGGACCCCCATGGGCAAGGCCCCAGGAGCCACCGCTCTGGGCTGGTGGAAGCCCTTGTGCCATGGGAGCCCCCGTCACCAAGCCCATCCCATGGGAACCTCCCCAGGGGCACCCCAAGGCAGCCCCCACACAGCACACCAGCCTCGCCATCGGCAGAGGGTGCTCACCCCACCACCAGGGCACTTCCACTTCTGAAATACCAACATCAGAGGCCAGTTATCAAAAATGTATAGGTTTGGCTGAAATTTTCTGTCGTGCCATCCCAGCCTGGCAGTGGCTGACGGGTCCCAAAGCCGGGGGCAGCTGGCTGAGCAGGACAGATTGGCTCAAGGAAATGGCATCTCCCTTTACGCTAACCCTTTTTTTTTTTTTTTTTTTTTTTTTGCATGGAGAAGCTGGTTTGCAGCTTGTCTCCTTATATCAGGGCTAAACGCTGATGTGTAAGGCAGTGCTATTTCTGGAGGTCGCTGGGTTGCCAGGATTTTCTGTACAGGTGGAACCTGGGGCCGCTGCGTGTGATCCCCGTAAGGTGGCTGTGGCTGTACTCATGAATTTATTGTGCCTGTGGCTGTACTCCTGGATTTACTGTGCCTTGCTTGACTCTGGCACCAACACCACAGCAGGATCAGCACTCGCTGTTCACCTCCCTCTGCGCTGTGTTTTTGGGGATGTGTCCTGGCCAGAGCAACTGGGGGCAGAGACGGCGCGGCAGGAGGGATTCAGCACATTGGAGATGTGCTGTAAGATGTGGCTGGAGGTGATGTATATCCTCCGGGCAAGTGGAAGATCTCCAGACAGTAAATCATTGCTGCTTCCATCCCTCAGCACTGCAGCACCTCCCCGCTCCCCCTCCGGAGGTTCCCTGTCTATGTAAAAAAATAGCCACCGCTGCGTTAGGGCTCTCCAAATTTTCTCATGCTTCTGATTATAGCTTTTAAGTTGATCCACAAGCCAAGGTCTCCGGTGAGTTCAGTGAGTTTTCATTAATTTTGCCTGGCTTAGGAACCCAGTGGGCTTTGTGAAACTCCAAGCCCAAAGCATTTTAGGCTGTCGGAGCCTGCCATGGTGCCCACGCTGCGGGAGGACGGGCGGATGCTGGTGGCACATCCACGGGCTCTGGGGCAGGCTCGGGTCCGGAGGGGCTGGCTGAATTTCCCTGCACTGAGCAGGCTGAAATGCCCCTGCCACAGGCATCCTGTGGCTTTTTTTTTGGGGGGGGAAAGAGGGATGTGGAGTGGGACTCCGGAACAAAGGTGCGCTCGGGGCTCCCCGTGCGGTGCTTGGGGGTGCTCTGGGGAGAGGCAAAGCTGCTGGGAGACAGGAGGTGGCAGGGCAAGGGCAAGGGCAAGGGCAAGGGCAAGGGCAAACCCAAACCCAAACCCAAACCCAAACCCAAACCCAAACCCCGCGAGCCCGGCCTCTCTTGCCCTGGGGAGACAAAGGCAGCAGCAGTGCAGAAAGCTCCAGGAACCAAAAGCATGAAGAGAAACCCAAACGCCTTTACCACCAAAGAGAAGGCTTTTTTCTTCTGCCCTAATTTAGCTCTTCGCCTCTGGAAATGAAGATTTTTTAAATTCCCTCTGTGCTGGTGTCCCCAGCATCCATCAGGTGCCACTCGCAGTGATGTCCCTGTGCTCTCAGCCACCCTTCCAGCCCTCCCACAGGGCAGGTACCAGCACACATCCACGGGCCTTATGAGGGCTTGAAAATTTCCCTTTTAATTAAAGGAGCTCTGCAGGCAAGCTCCACTCATTTATATTTCCCTTTATATTTTAATTTATTGCTACATCAGCTATTAACACCCCCCCCCCCAAAAAAAAAAAAAAAAAAAAAAAAAAAAAAAAAAAGGAAGCAGAAAGCAGAAAGGCGCAGAGCTGACACAAGCCGGGCGCCTTTCGGGATGACTCACTGCAGCACCGAGATGGCTGCTGGCTTCGGATTCACCCTGCCTCTGCCTCCAGCCCGCGGGAGGCAGCGAGGCGAGGGGCTGAGAGGCTTCGTCCCTCGTGGCCGCGTGGATGGAGGCTTCGCCACGCGGGTATCGGCGACATCCCCGCGGGCCCTGGTGGGAGGGGGGCTTCCTCGCAGAGGGGCAGCAGGGGGAAGACGTCGGGAGGAGGAGATGGCGAGGCGTTTCCAGCTGACCTGATTTTTCTGCCTGCTTCCCTTGCCACATCTCTGCGAGGGAGCTCAGGAGTGGCGGCGGCTCGCCTGGGGTTGCGGGCACGCTGCTGGGTGCCCCAAGCGCATCTCCTGAGCTGGGGGAGAGCCTCGGGGCTGGACCCTCTTTTCCTGCCCTGCCTTTCGAGTGCCAAAGCTGGCTAAGGAGAGAACCAGCCCTTTCGCAGTCCTTTGTGCAGCAAGGGGAGAATTCACTCAGGTACCATTTATGCTGCAGCAAAGCCACCCCTGGAAGGACGCGAGGACACCAGCATGAGCCTGGGTGAGGCCAGAAGGTGACCTGGGCTCTGCAGCCACCCCCAGGGCTTTGGGGCTGCTGCTGGAAGCACAGGGGTGTGGGGACACACAGGGACACCCCGCCACGATCCCGGGGTGATCCCCTGCAGCCTGCTGGGCTGATGGGCAGGGGCGCAGGGTGCAATCCTGCACCCAGGGAGCCCTGGCAGCTCTCTGCCTCGCACCACTGGAGCCAGCAGGGCTGGACAGGGGGGCACAGGTTCAGGTCCACCCAGCATCAGCACATAAATGGGGCTGGGGGGAGATTTACAAAGAGCTGACCTGTGCAGAGACCGGGTGTGAGTTGCAGCGGATGCCCTCGGAGAGCCCAGGGGTTCCCCCAAGGCAAGGCTCCCTCCCAGGAAAACAGCTGAGAAATGATTTCAGAAGGGAAAAGGCAATTCTCCCCGTGGCAGCACATCAGTGACAGGCAGAGCAAACCCCGGGGGGCAGCACACCCTCCTCGCTGCCAGCAGCCAAAGCTGGCCGTGCTTATCTCACAGCGCCCAGAGCTGCGCAGCCACCCCTAATCGCCATAAAAATAAACGCTTTCGCCTCGTATCACAGAACAGAGGAATTTCCCTCCGTTGGTTTTCCCTTTTTTTTTTTTTTTTTTGATTTTTTTTTTTCCCCAAGGCCTCCCTCCGAGCCTTCCCTCCCCCCTCCCTCCTTGCCATGTAAGCAGGCGCAGGGCACAGGCTGACATGGGGCCACGGCGGCGGCCCCGCGGCAGCGCTGCCTGGCACAGGGCCGGGGCTGGCACGGCACGCAGCCACGAGAGGCGGGCACGCAGCGGGGGGAAGGATGCTCCCCGCCGACACCAGCTCCCAGCCGGCTGCCTGCGTGCCTGGAGAAGGGTGAGGGCCTGCAGGCTCCGTGCCCGAACCCTAAAGCAGATGGATTTGCCCTGGAGGGTGGCACGGAGCCTTGAAGGGTGCGAACTGCCGGTGTGACTGAGCTGCTTGGTGCTGGGGCAATGAGCCATCGCCGCACGGGCACGCGGCCGTCACCCGGGGAAGGTCTCAGAGCCTCCCTTTGCAGCCCCTCTGCGCTGGCAGCCGGCTTTGGGGGCAGCTGGAGCTCTCGCCAGGCCATACGGGGATGGCTGCGGGTGGCAGCGTCCCGCTGAGCTGACCCCGGCCATGCGCCTGACCTGCTGCCTTCGCCCACCTCCTGCGCGGGGACAGCGGGGAGCCGGGCAGGGCTGCCCAGGACCCCTCAGCACGCCCAGCCCCAGGAGCTTCAAGGAGCAGGATGGTGTGAAGGGCACCTGCGAGGGCCGAGGCGCATCGCCGGCACGCCGTGGGGCGGCACGCTGAGCTCGGGGCCCCACCGCTCGCCCCCCGCCCTCCTGCTTTGGGGCGCTTGGAGCAGGTAAGGCAATTTGGGGTGGGGGGACACCGGTTCCCCTGCCCACCCCGCTCCCAGCCCCGTGCAGCCACCGCAGAGCTGCTTTTAGCCTTCACGGGGGAAAGCACAAAGGCAACCATGAGATGGTTTTGCCAAAAATTGGGGGGGTGTGTCCCCCCCCCCGGCTGGCAGCAACCCCTCGCACCCATCTCCAGCTCTCCCAGGGGAGCTGCGGGGGGGATTCCCCAGCCCCCCCCCCCTCCATCCACCTCCCCCAGCACAAAGCCGCCGGGCGGAGCCGGAGGGCGGCACCCAGGGGAGGATGGAGGGGGGGTGACGGGGCGGGGACCCCCCCCCCCCCCCACAACCCTTCCCCTTCCTTCCCAGCCCCTTCCCCTCCCCGCCCGGCCCCGCGGAGCTGCCGCCGGCCCCGCAGGGCTCCGCGGCTCCGCGCACGCTGCGGCGGGGGCGGCGCGGCTGCAGGTGAGCGGGGGGGAGCCGGAGCTGGGCAATTCGGGGGGCTGCATGCTGCGGGGGGGGGCAGGGACATCGGCACACCGGGGACCGGGGAGGAGCGGGGAGGAGAGCAGCCTCCAGCCCGGGATGCTGCGGGGAGCTTGGCGCACGGGGTACCCCTGCCGCGCACTCCGGAGGTGGGTGTAGGGGAGCCCCTCTGCCCCCGGGTCTTCTCCACCCCCCCCAGGGACCTCAGGGCAGGGTGCGGGGTCCTCCCTTTCCCCCCAGAAGCTGTGCGCCCGGTACCTGGCAGCAGAGGCACCGCGCACGGCAGCATCCGCAGCAGGCGCTGGGCTCCTGCTCACAGCCGACCCCGGAGCTTTGGGTAACCGCCCCCCTCCTGCGCCCCAAAAAAGAGCCGGGAGTCCCCCGGCTGCCTGCCCCCAGCCCCGGGCACTTCGGTGGCCTCCGAGCACACGGCAGCAGCTCAGGCTCTGGCTGCAGAGAGCTGCCAGCAGTGGGAAAACCCCTCCGTGCTCCCCGCACCCCGCTGAGCATCTTCAGCTCGACGGGCACAGGGATGCTGAGCGGCAGGGACAGGGCGCATGGGCATCCCAGGGACAGTGTCACCTCCCCAGTCCTGCCCCAGCCGCCCCCAGCACGCAGCCGATGGATGGGGACACCCCCCGGGATGTCAGATGCCCCCCTGGATCCCCCCAGCCCTGCCCCGATCCCACTGGGCATCCCATCTGGGGCTTGCCCCAGCAGCCTGCAGCCAGCACCCCGGCACGCCTGGGAGGTGCAGGGCCACGAGCCCATGGTGACAGGGTGCTTCGGGCTGGGCTGCAGGCAAGGGACAAAAGCTTTCCTCCTCTGCACGTTTCTAATGGCTCCTCTGAGACCAGCCCCACGACTCCCCGCCAGGAAGCCTCTCCGAGCTGTAAGTACGGGGCTTTTTATCTGGGCTGTTCATCTAAACCCATCGTACCTGCTTGGAAAACCCCTGAGTGCAACACTCCCTGCTCTCGCCGCATCCTCACTCGAATATCTATCAGCATCTCCCTGCCCACTCCCCTGGGTCCCCTCCGCCAGTTGGAATAAATACACAGAACTTCCCTGGGAAAGGCTGGCAGAAAAAAATGCGTTGTCAAGGGAAACTCTTCCAGCATTTCGTACAGATATGCTTGATCTGTTTTAATATTTCTTTACTGTCATAAATGCATATATCAGGGATTTTTTTCCTCCACGAGATACGTATTCATTTGAATGCCCAGTGCATGGTTCCTGCTGGGTGTGTGGCGGTTTCCCTCGAACAGCTCACAGAACATCTCAAAATCGATCACAAAGGGCCTGGCTCGATCTGCTCTGTTTTCCCAGTCATTTATGGAGATTTCGGTGCGATTAAAAGACAATTTTGCAAATTCACGTTACTGCAGACAGGCACATTTGGATTCTCTGCCCATTGTGATTTAAAAAATAAAGAAAAAAAACAACACACCCAACCTCCCCAAAGCCAGCTCCGGTCCCCCAGCCGCCAGCCCCGCCGATGGGACAGATCCTGCCCTGCTGATCCAGGTGCACAGGTCCTGGCCCAAGCCTCGGCGGTGCTCCAAGGCTGAGCTGAGCTCGCCATGAAGCGAGCAGGCAAAAGAGTTACAGAACTATTAATTGCTGCTCTGGATTCCCAGATGAAAGCCGTGTGTGGGCAGCAATAATTCGCTCCGTTCAGAAACAGGCGTCAGGAGGGAGAATCTCTGTCCGCGACCCCCCTCGCCCTGCTCCCTGTGCAGCAGGGAGGAATTTCCCCAGGATCCAAAGCTCGCCCATCCCTGACACCCATTTTTCTCTTGCCATCAGAGCCCAAAGCTCGCCCATCCCTGAATTTTCCTCCTGCCATGGGGGCAAAGCATCACCCACAGCCACAAGGTGTGAGTTGCTCCTGCTGAGCCCGAGCATCGCTTTGGGCTCACCCCACGCTGCCAGCCCCATCCACAACCCCCAGGCTTGCCCCATCCCGGCCCCAAAACCACGTCCCCACTGCCTGGGGTGGTGTTTGGCCTGGCCTTGCCCCCCGGCTGCAGAACCGGGCACGGAGAGGCTCGGGGGGCGCAGGACGGGCTGCAGCCCACGGGCCCACCCCCACGGCCCCTGCGTGTGCGCGCAGCCTGACTGCATGAGCATCCTTCTGGAAGGAACCTGGATTAGTCATCCCCACCCCACAGATGGGCTGTGTGATGTCTTCCCTGGAAAAGCCGATCTGTCACAGAAATCCCAGTTTGTCCCTGAACAGGAGGAGCGCCTGCGCCCCTTCTTCTCCCTTCCATGTCTGAAGCATTTAAAGAAAATTGATCCTTTTATTTTTTTTCGCCCCCCCTTAGAAGGAAAGCCGATGAGTCCATTTCGCTCGGAGGCTTTGCACAAAAGAGTTGCCTCCTCCAGACACGGGGATGCGCTTGCCTTGTGGTGCGCAGCCTGCGTCTTTATCAGCCCCGGCGCCGAGATGCAAGCGAGGTAGCAGATGCCTCTGCTGGGCTATTTCGCACCCAGCTGGCATTTGCTGCACCCACAGCCCCACTCAGCCTAAAAACCCACCTCTGGGGGCTGTTTCCAGCCCTGGCTCCATCACCTCTCCATCTCCAGCTCTGACCTCCAGGCTCAGATGCAAAACCCCCGCAGGTCCCTCCAACCTTTTATGTGTCACTGCACAGGCCCCAGAAAGTGCATAGCCCCCTTTCCCTGCTTTGGCGCTTGCCCCATAAACCCCTCGAGGTGTCTGGTGAGCAGTGTGGGGTGGGGGAACCCACCTCAATGTCTTGGCCCTCAGGTGCTGCCCCACCGGGCTTGGGGCTCCCCAGCACCCCCGCAGTGCCTTTTCCCCCGGCTCCTGCTGCCCGTCCCCAGCCTCTGTCCTTGTGTCACCCGAAAGTTTGAAAACTGCCGTGGGTGACACCAGGCGGAGAGGGTGAGGGACTTTTCTAATAAGAATGGGCTGATGAAAGCCGTGGAGGGAAAGCTTTGAGAACGGAGACAGGCCGGTCAGGGGGGTCACAAATTCCTCTGCAACCACTAAAAGAAAGCTCCAGCATTGCACAAGTCGCATCAGCAATGACAGCGAGTGCAGCAGAGCTCAGGAGCAAGGCACAGCCAACAAGGGGATTTTCCCAAAGCAGATGATTTGCAGGAGAAATGCAATTTGGGGGTCTCAGAGAGCAGACCCGGTGCCCTCCTGAGGACACCAAACCCCGGCACCGCTCCCTGCGAGCTCCACCACGCCCCTCCGGAAAGGGCGACGGGCCAAGAGGTCGGTGGAGAGCTCTGGTTCCAAGGTGACAGAGCACAAACCGAGTGCTCGCCTGCTTAGTTCAAACCTCTGCTCAAGGTGGGTAAATGCATTTTAGGGTAGCGAATGCTACTCGTTGTGAGATGTTGTAACTCGTGCTCGTTAGCGAATGGAGCTGCTGCTGCGTGGCGAAGCCCAGTGCCCTGAAACCCGTAAAACCCAGAAATGTGGCAGAAAGCAAAATTCCCTTTTTATTTCCCTACTAATACACAGGCCTTTCATTCAGTCATCAATGATTCTGAATCATGTTTTTATTATGTTTCAACACTACAAAAATAAATCCTAATATTTTACGTGACAGAGCACACAAGAGGAGACAAAGCAGGCAGACGAATTGTTTTGACACTTCTTCCTCTGAAATTTTCCCTAACACCTGTGAAAACGCTTTGATTTTGGCAAAACTACCACGGCTCCTGGGCAAATCGTGCCATCCAAGGACTTTTTGGCCAGTTCCAATTAGCGATGTAGGTGGTCGGGCTACAAATCTCTGGCACAATCTGATGAGCGCAGGGCAGCACAAGATCTGTTTTTTCACTGGGGGATAAATCCTCTCTCCAGTGACTAATTACCTGGTTGAAGGAGGAAAGCCCCACAGGCGAGGTGCTGGAGATGCAGCAAATTGCCTTCGTTAGGCCACCGGCAACCTGCAAAGGGAGAGATTTCAAGAGGTAAATAAGGAAGGAAAGCCTCATCTGGAAAAAGAGGTTTGGTTATGTTTGTTTGTTTTGTTTTGTTTTGTTTTGTTTTGTTTTGTTTGTTTTGTTTTTCCGTCTTCCCCAGCAAAGAACAAATGCCCAAAGCTGCTCCTTCCCCTCCATCCACTGTCCCTCTCTGTCCCACACGTGAGCACCCCCTCACCCCCCAGGGACCTCTTGTCCCCCCCGAGCCCCCTCGAGCTGTGTCTCGCCCGCAGGTGGACCAGCCCCCGCTCTGCTGATCATGGTCAACAAGACCTTAACCTACTGGGGTCCCGGCTTCGAGGAGGACGTTATCAACATCAACGTGGGGGGGCTGAGGCGGCGGCTCAGCTCCAGCGCCCTCTCCAAGTTCCCCGACACCCGCCTGGGGCGCCTGCTGTCCTGCGACTCGGAGGAGTCCATCCTGCAGCTCTGCGATGACTACGACGTGAGCGCCAGGGAGTTCTACTTCGACCGAAACCCCGGCTTCTTCCTCTACGTGCTGCACTTCTACCAGACGGGGAAGCTGCACGTCATGGAGGAGCTCTGCGTCTTCTCCTTCTGCCAGGAGATCGAGTACTGGGGCATCAACGAGTTCTTCCTGGACTCCTGCTGCAGCTACCGCTACCACGAGCGCAAGCTGGAGGGCCGGCACCACAACTGGGACGAGGAGAGCGAGGTGAGCAGCGTGGACACGTCCCCGGATGAGATCTCCGACATCAACCACGAGCTGCTGCGCTACAGCACGCTGCGCTGCGGCAACGCGCGCAAGCGCCTCTGGCTCACCATGGAGAACCCCGGCTACTCCATCCCCAGCAAGCTCTTCAGCTTCGTGTCCATCAGCGTGGTGCTGGTCTCCATCGCCACCATGTGCATCCACAGCATGCCCGAGTACCAGGAGGCGGACGAGGCCGGCAACGTGCTCGACGAAGCCGTCCTGCACAAACTGGAGTATTTCTGCATCTCCTGGTTCACCTTCGAGGTGTCCTCCCGCCTCCTGCTCTCCCCCAACCCCAAGAAGTTCTTCAAGCACCCCCTGAACCTGATCGACATCGTCTCAGTGCTGCCCTTCTACTTCACCCTCTTGGTGGACCTGACCATGGGCAGCGACTCGGAGCTGGGCAACCTGGGCAAGGTGGTGCAGGTCTTTCGGCTCATGAGGATATTCCGGGTGCTGAAGCTGGCTCGGCACTCCACGGGGCTGAGGTCGCTGGGGGCCACCTTGAAGGTAAATGGGCTCCCTATCTCCATACCTACCCTTACTATCAGCTCTGGGATGGCCGGGAGATGCAGAGGTGCCCATTCCCAGTGGTTTTCCAGCTCTGGGTGGTGTGTGAGAGCTTGTTTGGGGCGGAGGGTTGGGCTGTGGGGTGTGCCAAAGCAGTGTGAGGGTGCTGCACGAGTGCCCCTTGTGCACACCCCCAGAGCAAACAGGAATTGACCCTGACACTTGGAAACTTGGTGCCTCCATGGGTTCAGCCCCACCGTGGTGGGCCAGCACCATACCCAGTGTCGGAGCAGAATGAGCCGTGCAGAGGTGGTGACATCCCACCAGGACACCTCACTGGGATAGCCACGGGGTCTGGGACCACCAGGAGCCGCCCTGTGACACCGCAGAGCATGCAGGGCTGGGGGAAGCTGGCCTCAGGACCAGGCCCTCAGGAGGAGAAGCTGGATGAAGGGGTGCTGAGAGTGCCCCAGGCCCCTGGCACACTGGGAGGTGGCACCCACACACATTTGAGGAAAGGTCCCCAGGCTTCACATCGTGCCCCAAGGCTCACCAGAGCACCCTCCCAGCACCTGGGAGGGCCTGGTGAGAGCAGCTGTGACAGGTTTTGAGGCATGAAGCTGTCATGAGACCCTCACCAGCCTGGTCCCATGTCCCCGACCTCCATCGCTGCAGCTCAGCTGCCCCCCATCAGTCTCTGCTGTCCCCACAGTCCCTCCAGCCTCCTCATGCCAAGGGTGATGTGTGGCTCAGCCAGTGTGTTGGGGAGGCTGAAGCCATCCCCTCACCTCAAAATCCAGGTGCTGCAGGGTCCAGCTAGCCCAGCCTTTGATTTTCTCTGCTTCTTGGTGACCAACTCAAGAGAAACCCCCAGGCCAGTCGCCAGGCCCACCAAGTGTGGCAGCAGATGCTCGAGCTGCACACGGGGAGGACACCACTCGCACAGACACCTTCGCTCCTCCTGGGGCTGCCTCTGGCCCCACTTCCAAAGCACCACGCTGGTTCTCAGGCTGGGGACCCCGTGGTGCTGGCACGGGATGTCCTGGTGTCAGCAGGGCTTGGCGGCCAGGGCTGGCCCCGCTCCATAGGGCTGGGTAGAAAAAAAATCAACTCTTGAGCATGGCTGGGGAGGAGAATGGGGTCCAGGGAGCACTGTTTGAAACAAAGGCACCTGCAGCCCTACGCACAGCACCCTTGTTCCTGAAAACCCACCTTGGACGAGCAATGAGCAAGCGGCACGCACACCTAAAGCAGCTCACAGAATTTAAATCAAACCTTCCAGGTGGGAAGGGCTCCCCGAACCTTTCCTGTGCTCCACGGGAGCAGGAACAACACGCAGGGCAGGGCAGGGCAGGGGCTGCCGGGCTCTGCTGGGCTCTGCCGGGCTCGCTGCACATCCTCGGGCAGCGCCAGCAGCAGGGGGTGAGCGACACAAGGCTGCCGCAGCTGCCTGGTGCTGTGATTTACCTGGGCACATAAATTACAACGCCGTGTTCATCGTAATTTACTTCCTCCTGCACGAGCACAAAGCAGCAGCAGCGGAGGAGCAAAGCCTGCTGGCGGCCGGGAAGCGGGGCGATGGCTCTGGCCCGGCGAGGAGTTGCTGCCCTGCCACAGGGGTGTTAGCAGAGGGATTTCTGCCCTTTGTGCAGCGTGAACTCAGCACCCTGCAGATGATCCAGGGGGCATTTGATTTGGTGGCAGCCTTCCCACACGTCCCTGCTCCTCCTGCCCTGCACCAACACCCGTGACAGCGGGTGCGCCTCCCAGCTGGGGGCTCGGTGCTGGCCGCCCCCCAGCAGCGGGTAAACTCCATACAGAAATAAGCCTCTCGTGGCCAGCTGATCCAGCTGTGAGGCTCGGGGCTCTTTGTCCTTCCCCAGGAGCTCTTGGTGTTTCTCTTGGGCATTTGCAGCCACAGGTGACGGCGGAGGAGGAGGGTGTTATTTCCCTTGGTGTTACTGGCATTAGCTGAGCAGCTTCTGCCAGCAGTACAAGCAAAGTCTTCGTGCTCCCTGCAATGAATCCACCTCCTTTATGCCTTGCCTTGACCACAGAAGCTCTTTTCCCATGTCTTCTGCTGTTTGCTTTGCTCAGATGTTTCGTTTAGTCATTATGTGGTCTCCAGTAAAGCATTCTTTGGCTGTTGGGAGACTGAAAAAATAATATAATCAGAGCTCTGATTTCCTTTCCCCAAAAGATGAGAGGAGCGAGTTGGCCGATCAGCGGGCAAAAACATCCAAGAAATTTGCTTGTGGTGACCAGACAGGGACAGAACTGCAGCATGGGCTCAGCCCTGTGAGCTGCTGTTTGCTCTTACCCCGTTGCACACCCCTGCTGTCCGTCCGTCTGTCCCACTGCCACCACCCCCTGTCCCCAGTTTGGGTGTCCCCAGTGAGCCAGGGGCGCAGTGCCCGTGGGGATGGGTGCTGGGGCCAGCCCGGGCTGGTGCTGGATGGATCCCAGGCGGATCCGATGAGCGGGGCTGCGTCGCTTCACACCGGTGCTGAGGCAGAGCAGTTGGTCTTGCTTTGAGCCTCCCAAAAGGGAGATGGAATTATCTCCAAAAGAGCAGTTTCTATAAAACAACTCCCCCAGCACAACAGCTGCGTGTTCCTGTAGCATCTCTGGTGTCCTGTAGCAGGGTTGGACACGGGTTAAAGTCACCGAGAACCCCAGGGTTGGAATGTCCCCAGCGGTGAGGCTTCAGGGGACAGAATTGGGCAGAATATGAGCAAAATCCTGCTGAGCTCTGCAGATGGTGAGGGGTGCCGGAGGGGCAGGCGGTGGGGCCAGCCGGGGCTGGGACAGGAGCTGGAGGCAGAGCCGAGGCTGCAGCAGAGGCACCTGTCCTCCTTGTGCTCGCACACCGCCAGCAGCAGGAAAATACAAAATCACCTTGCTCAGAGCCTGCCTGGTCCGGTGCTTCCTGGGGACCTGCCAAGATAAAAGGAAAATGTGTCTGGATGCTGCTAGCCCAGATCAGGCTGGAGCTGGGGCACAGCGTCTGCAGCAGGACCCCTCGGTGGGAAGCACAGGGCTGGGCTCCCCTCCTGGCTGCCCTGTCCCCATGGGGGTGCCAGGGGCTGGCTTCCCGGCCACCCATGTACCCAGACCCTGAGCCCACCCGAGGCTGCTCCCACTCTCCCCCCGTGTTCCCCACCCTGTGTTTAACTCCCAAGTGCTGCCACTGCGCCGTGATGCCCGCGAGATGCCCGTGGAGGTGTGCAGGGGGCTGCACGGGGGCCGTGTTTGTGCTGTGGTGCCCCAGCGCCCTGACCACGACGGTCCTCGCTCATCGTCACCCCGCTTTGCCTTCCAGCACAGCTACCGGGAGGTGGGCATCCTGCTGCTCTACCTGGCCGTGGGGGTCTCCGTCTTCTCCGGCGTGGCCTACACCGCGGAGAAGGAGGAGGACGTCGGCTTCGACACCATCCCGGCGTGCTGGTGGTGGGGCACGGTCAGCATGACCACGGTGGGCTACGGCGACGTGGTGCCCGTCACGGTGGCGGGCAAGCTGGCCGCCTCGGGCTGCATCCTGGGGGGCATCCTGGTGGTGGCACTGCCCATCACCATCATCTTCAACAAGTTCTCCCACTTCTACCGCAAGCAGAAGGCGCTGGAGGCTGCCGTGAGGAACAGCGAGAAGAAAGACCCCGAGGACACGGAGAGCTGCTCCAGCCACGACCGGGACTCGGAGGCGCTGAGCGAAACCTCCCTGGGCAGAGGCAGCCCCGACCGCCGCGGTCTGACCCCCGGCGTCCTGCCCGCCCCCTGAGCCCCCCGGGACGTGGCGGAGGGGCCGGGCTTCCCCATCTCCCAGCCCCACACAGGGGACAGGAGGGGCTGGGGACGGTGCCCACCGGCTGCTGCCAGCCCCGGGGCAGTGGGAGGCAGCAGCTGGGGAGGTTTGGGTGCGTCTCAGCTGGAGGTACCCCAGCCAGGGGACAGGAAGGGAGAGGGGAGAAAAGAAAAGTGGGTGACCCCGAACAGGCGCTGCTCTGGGTGCATGAAGGGTGGTGCTCCTCCATCCTAAAGTCATTTAGGGCATGGCGGTCGTTCCAGAGCTGCTGCTGCTGCTGCTGGCACCCGGCCCACGCAGCAGAGAGGAGGCAGAGTGCCTGCAAAGGGCTGCCGGGGAGCGGACACGAGGGATGCTCCTGGGCACCAAGAAGCTGCCTTGGCCACTGCCGCGTGCTCCTGGTTTCCAGTGCTGGAGGAGCTGCCATGCTGGGGTGATGAACAAAGCCCGAGGGATTTGACACCTGCCCTGCTCCCCAGCCTCACCCCCCCGCCTCGTCCCCCTGCCCTGGGGCCAGGCAGGGGCAGCAGCAGTGCCAGGAGCCGGGGGGCATCGCCTCCATCCCCACAGGGAGCTGAGCACCCCCTTTGCAGAGGAGGCAGCCCCAGCAGGACAGAGGGGACCTCGTGCTGCTCCTTGTCACCTCCCTGCCCGAGCCCCTCTCAGCTGGGCAGGGGGGACACCCCTGTCCCATGCAGCCCCTGATTCAGCTGCACATGTTTGGGGTTGTTCCCAGCACAGCACTAACTCTCTACGGAGCTTTTCCTTGACCCCCCCATTCTCTGTTTGGAAATCGTGCAGGATTTTCGTGCACACAGGAGTGTGCCCAGCAAGCCCCAAACTACTCCGATGGCTACAGGACGGCCACAGCCACCTGGATCCTGGTGCTTGCCACCGGCCGTCCTGGCTGGCACAAAGGGCACCGCGTGGGGACCACCGTGGTTGGTGACAGCTCTGCCACAGCCACCTGCTGACCACGGGGATAAAAGACAAAACCGTGCGGGTCCAGCTGCCCTGAGCTCAGGTGGGACCAGGGGATCCCTGGGGAGCAGCAGGGCATGGAGGTGCCCACGCTCCCGGCACCATCGAGTCTTCCAGTACGGCCGTGCCGTGGTCGGCCCCGCGCTCACCGCCCGCCCCGGACCAGCTCCCGCTGCACCGTTACTTGAACAAAGGAAGGAGTTCCCCCTTCTCTCCATGAATACCCCAGTAGCAAAATGTACAAAAAAAAAAAAAATGTGAAGACTAAATTACCTGTATTAACTAAGAAGCATTATGCAAATAATTAAAAGAGCATGTAAATTAATTTTCTATCTATGCATGGGATGCATACGGTATATTTTATTAAAGACCTGAGTGACCCACCTCGGAGGCTGGCTCTGTTTCGTGCCCCATTAATCCATGGGTTTGGGGCAGGGGCAGAAGGAAGGTGGGATCAGCCCCCAGGAGCTGCCAGGCCACTTGCAGAGCGATTCCTGCAGCAGGCTGTGGTGCCCCTCTGCCATCTCCCATCACGGCTGCCGAAGCAGCATCCCAGGGGCTGGGGGGAGCAATTTTGGGCTGCGGGACTCCCGGAGGAGCAGCACGGATGCGTGGCAGGCAGGGGGGGCGCAGGGTGGCTGGCAGAAAGAAGGGATGGCAATTAACGTTCGAAATGATGATTGCCCAAGCAAACATCTTGCCCCATCCACAGCTCCTTCATCCTATCCATCACAGACCCACTAAATCTGGGAAGCAGGAACGTGCAGAGATGGGATGCACGGGATCAGCAGTGCCACGGGGCACGAGAGCAAAGCTGGCAGCGCTGGGAGCTGGGGAGCAGCCTCTGGCCACCATTTCCCCTATAAAACACTTGGGTTTTAGGAAACTAACTTTGGCCCCTCAGGGGCTGTGTTTTGGTCTGGAGGTATGAAGGGCAGACTTTAAAGGAAGATTCAGTTCCAAGAGGCCCGCCAGGGTGTGTTGTGCCACCAGGGAGGGGTTGGCAGCACGAAGCCCCCCCCAGGCTGCCCTGGTTTTTTCTCCAGAGCAGAGGCTTCTACAAAAGGTGCCCCCCAGCACGCCGCCAGCTCTTTGGGAGCCAGCTCTCCCTGTTCTGTAGGGGTGAAGTCTGGGCTCTGGTGCTGCTTGGGCTTCATCCTCTTCCCTGGAGGCAGCATAAGAGGCTGAGGTGGCTGCTGGTGCCGCTCGTGGCCTCCGAAATGAGGGAGGGGACGTCTCAGTGCTGCTCCCAGCACGGCACCTGCACCCCGCAGCAAGGTGGGAGGGGAGGATTAAACCCCGAGTTTAATCTTTATTCCTTTGAGAGTTTTTTCATTTGGAATAATAATAAAAAAATCCCCATTCTACAAATCTTTCCGAGGCAAACACTTCCCTAACCTGGTGGTTAGAAGCCAGCCGTGCCTCCCGAGGGACCCTCCACAGCTGCTGCATTCGACGGCTGCCCCGAGGGGCTGCCTGGGGGCAAACCACAAAGGACTTTTCTTTTTTTAGCCTCCTGCGAAAACGTTCAGATTTGTATGGCGATGAGCAACCGGGAAAGTCCTCCCACTGCTCTGCAGATAGAGCTGGCGGTGCCGGAGCTCTGCAGCGCTGGGAGCAGGCGGCGCAGGAAGGTGCCCAGCGCCAGCGTGCGCCATCGAGGCACTGCCACGCAGGGTGGGCTGCCAGGACGGCTCTGTCTCACTGTTCCCAAGGCCGGTAGGAAATTGGTGCTCTCCTGCTAAGCCCTAATCAGTTTCCTGAGTGACTGTTTTCCTTTGGTACAGCGGGTAAATCAATTAAGCACTTTATCAGGTTATGTCTCCAAAAGCGGCTCTCCACACTCAAAAAATGATGGATGAGGGAGAGAGTATTTTACCTCCAGGGACCGGCAGTGAAGGAGTGACCTTACTCAGCTATTTCACGCAGCTGAGAATTGGACAACTCCTAGAGACAAAGTAAACTTCGGTACTTTTAAAAGCTTTTCTTCCTTCAGCAGCATTCAGACACCCTGAGGGTGCTCTGTGCACCCGGCTGGTTGTGGGAAATGCCGGAGGTTTGGCAGGAGGGGATCCATAGGAAGCAGAAACTCCTCGCTGGCAGCGCTCCTGGGACCCGTCCCGCCTGGCTCTGCAGCCCTGATCCCAGGGGGGTGAGTGCAGGGAGACCAAAATCAGAGCAGACTGCTTGAAGAAGTGCCGATCACATCGGTGCTGCTTCTAATTCCTCCTTTTGCTGCACTGGGAGTGGTGACCAGTAACGACCAATTGTGCCTTAGTTCTTTTTTTTTTTTTTTAATTTTAATTGTGGCAAAACACTTTCTCCTGGTACTAGGAAAGCCCCCGGGTCTGCATATACCCATGGCTTCAGCCCTTACCTGAACGATAGCGATTACCTTGGTTGTACTTAAATCAGAGCTTTCCTTCTAACCATTGGAGCTAAGCGAATAGTCTCAAAGCGGTGGAATTAAGCTAACCAACTGCACCTGGGCAGGTCACAGCATTTCAGGAAATGCTATCTGCTGCCCTCGAAAAACAGGGGTCAGGCATGCAGGGGAGCCCAACACCAGCGAGCGATGCAGCAGAGCCCAGGAGGCATCCACAGCCAGCCCCGGGGAGCAGCAGAGGGGAAAAAGTGGCCCGTGCCTTCAGGATCGTCCTCGCCACGGTCAGTGGGTGATGGCCCAGACCCTGTGAGCCTCTCGGGGTGAGGAGAGGAGGGTGTGCAGCTTAGCACCCGCTGTGACACGGAGGAAGGTCTGCAGCAGGGACGTCCTGCGGTGACGCAGGGGCACCGGGCTCCCTCCGCTGTATTGATCTTAGCTGCGACAGCCTGGAGGGGAGCAGAGCAGGCTGTGCTTAATGGATGGCATTGGATAGTTCTAAAGTTTTTAAACAAGTTGGCTGCCTTCCTGGACTCTTAAATTAAAGGGCAATTAAGTCACTTTCAGCCTGGAAATAGCTGATGGGTGTTTCCTGCTTTGACTCTTAAATTTTGCCGGAGTGATTAATGCAATGAAAAACTGTCAACTCTCAAGTCAGGGCTGTCAGCCAACACCAAGAGCATTTGTCTGGCTGCCTGCTCAGCTCTTCTGGCCCGTGGACGGAAGGAAATGGGACAAAATGAGGGTGTAGGAAGCAGCAGCTGGGTGTTAAAGACAATGCCACCTGCACCTTAGTACTGACAACCATGGGAGGAGGAGAAAATCTGGGGCTATGGCTTCTTGGCAGGTTGATTTTTTTTTTTTTTTTTTTTCCCATAGCAGGGAAAATCTTGGCTCAACAGCCCCAGCTCAGGGCTACTTGTCAGCTGTTGTCTTTGTTAGCTCCATGCAGTTGGTATTTCTGCAGCACGTGCACCGCTCCTAGCATGAAATGAGTGCATGTGAGCACTCCTGCGGTATGGCTGCGGCGCTGCTGCTGCGCTGGGAGCACCATTTTCCCTTCATGCAGGTGCTCTGCAGTTCCCTGGTAATGTTGCTGAAAACGTGCAAGTGCTGCAGGCTTTCCCAGCCACTAGAAATGCCTGCAGCCTCCCTCCCTTTGGATTCCACACTCCTTCCTAACATTTAAAAGCTCACATCTATTTTGTTTCTTCCGGGATTGCTAACCGAGGCTGCCTCCTGAATGAATTCTGTCTCTGGTTCAGTTAGTCATCCCTTCAGAACAGATTTAGTAACTGCTCAGGGAAACCACGTAAAAGCCAACAGTTCACCATGGGAAGGCAGCACCCACTCACTGTCAACTGCCTCCTTCTCCAAGCCAGAAAGCTGAAAGTGCAGCAAGTCAGCCAGAATTAGGAGAGTGACTCGAGCCTCACCTGTTGTGTAGGAAGAAGGAACGGGTACGTACCTAGCCCCGGAGCTGACTGCAGGCTCAGGAAGGTGCTGCAGCACAAAGCAGGGATGGGAGCACTGCAGCAAAGCTCGCTGACCCCCCTGCCTCCTCCTGCACCTCCAATGTGCATCCTCACAGGGAAGTGGCCTGAGCATCCACCTGCATCGTCCCGAGCTGCCGCCAAGCCAGCTGCACGTGGGCCTGCCCCTGAATCAAAGCAAATAACCCCCCCAGCTCTCCTGGAGGGGTAGTGTTAGCAATGCTTTATGGCTAAAGATCTGCCTGTTCAAAAATGCATTTGACATGTTTACTGCTCGTGTTTATTAATGCTTGCATGCTCGGCTTGAGGCACCTCATGTCAAAGCTTGTCCTGATATGCCAGATGTTTTAACGCATAAATATTACTCACGACACTGATGCTTTCAGTAAGGACAGTTTATTTGCCCCTTTGAACAAATAAGGCAAGATTTGAGAAAGATCCAACAAAAATATCCTGTATCAAACTCGGAGAACACAATAAAAGTTACTATTCCATACATATACAAAGTAATGGCCAACGCTATTATATACAAACAGACGGATCTTACAAAAGAGCATTTCAAGTCAGCACTTTATGCCAGTGTTGCTAATTTCTTTGTTACAAAAAAAAAAAAAAAAAGTTAAAGCTACAAACTTCACATTATTATGTCTCGCATGACTGACATCATCGGCATCTCTGGGTTTCAGAAGCGAAGATAACAGTTTGTCCAGAACACTTTCAGCAATGCAGATGGACCCAAGGAGCAGTAAAAGCAGCTTCGCAATTAAGGAAGCGTTTTGCTTAACACCCTTGTTGGAACAGCTTTCCCGTAGGGCATGAGCCTTGGTCTGGGGGACTCTGAGAAGTGAGCAGCACTCTGCTCCCAGACTCTACCAAGGGACCAAACAGGGAATTGCTTTCTCTAACAGACTGCAAATCAGTGGAGAAAATAATTCCTCTGCATCACAGCTCCATGTGCAAGAAACATCAAGTCTCAGCTACTGCAAGCATTTAAGAAAGGTTCAAAGACAGCTAAGCCATTGGACCAGTTTTACTTCTTTTGGTTCATTTGCTGTATTTTAAGACAATCACATCAGCAAAGCAGAGCATTTCAACAGTGCTTACATTCAGTTACAGCAGACACAGGTTGCATATTCCAAAAACACGCACCACACCAGGGTGCTTCACCTAAAAACTTGGATTTTCTAATGCCCTCCAGCCACTAGAAAGTTACCTACACAGTGCAGAGGTAAAACTACTCCCAGCAGAATCTGCTCGATCCACGTTACACGCATGCAGTGCAGAGTTTACCACGTCCTACATCCCAGCATCTATCACACCAGAGGTACAAACCAGGTGTGAGCTAAAGCTGAGCTTCAGCGGGCCCTGCAGGAGCTGCCCAGCCTCCTGCCAGCTGCCTCCGGTCTCTCCTTGGTGCTGGGAGAGCTGCAGCCCAGCACACAGCCAGCCTGGGTGAGCCCGGGGGGCTGGATCCATTGAAGTGACTAATTCAAGATGCAGTACTTCA